AAAATTATAGGGTAAAATTTGCTCCAAAAGTGTGACATATAAATATCTTGAATCAGGAAGAGATGGGATTTAATGTCCCCTCAAAATTTGGGGACTTGGAAAAAACAATTTGAACATTTCTATTTCCATAATTAGCTTGCACGTAGGTGTTTTGAACAGTGGAATGAAATCAGTGGAACCAGACAAAACTGCCAGGTGAGGAAAGGAAGGTAATCCTACCCCTCATCATGCATAAACATTGAATCAAATCCAGGTCACATGACTAAATAACAGAGAGAGAGAGAGAGAAATGGGGTTTAACGTCCACTCAACACAACTAGGTCATTTCGGGACTAACATATGGTTTAATTTTATTTCAATAATTCGCTTGCGCATAGGGGTCTTTAGCAGTGGGAGGAAACCGGAGGACCCAGAGAAAACCCACAAGGTTGGACAGGCGACCCTATTCAATGTCACGTACAACCAGGGATTCGAAACCACGCCAGTCGACTCAATGACAGACTTTATGATACAGCGCGCGCACGCTAACCATTCAGCCATCCAACCCCCCGACTAAATAACAGACCGCATGATCTAAAGTGCATGCGTTTATACCAACCACCCCCGATGATAATAAGAAAGTCCAACTGTGAGAGAGCATCAAGAACAGTGATACCATATTAAAGAGAATCAATGAAGCGACTGAAACTAGTTTAACATGGTACGTATGGTTAATACTTCCAGGAAACCCATTACTCTACTCTATTAACGCTTAATTTAAAACCATAGCACGTTTACCAAGACATTTATACACAGTGAGATCAGCAACAACTTAGTTTCTCATCAGCTGGTTTGGAGGCTAAACAGGGTTTTAAGAAGATTATCTCGGCTTATAGCCACAAAGATCGTTCCCAGAACATCAATAATACATAGATTCCCACGTAAACAAAGACGAAATAAAAACAAAGTGAAGTCGTTATTCTGACAGTAACAACCAATTTCTACTCAATCACGGAATAAGGTCGACATCCTATAATAATCAAAATCCTATTAATAATTGAAGTGTTTGAGATAACGTGATCACCTTATACCCAGTAATAATATTATAAACAAATATAAGATTGGTTCTCGGACCAGAACATACTAACGCATATTGTAATCTCGTGGAGATATTTTTCAGATATAAACAGTTTCTGGCGATAACACTCACATAATATCATACACAATATAAAATTGGTGTCTGAACAATGGTCAATCTATTAGTGCCCACACAAATATTTGGTTGGATATGAGAATTAGTAAGAGAGAGAGAGAGAGAGAGAGAGAGAGGGTTCATTCCACACAAAAGAGAGAGAGAGAGAAAAATGGAGTTTAACGTCCACTCAAACTAGGTCATTTTGGGACTAACATGTTTTTTAATTTTATTTCAATAATTCGCTTGCGCATAGGGGTCTTTAGCAGTGGGAGGAAACCGGAGGACCCGGAGAAAACCCACGAGGATGGACAGGCGACCCTACTCCTTGTCACGTACAACCAGGGATTCGAAACCACGGCAGTCGACTCAATGACAGACTTTATGATACAGTGCGCGCACGCTAACCATTCAGCCATCCAACCCCCTCATTCCACACAAACTAGATTATTTCGAAACTATCATTTTGTTCAATTTTAGGAGTCTTTATTAGTGGGAGGAAACAAGCAGGGAGTCAAAACCACGCCACTAGACTCAATAACACATGCTAAACTATTTGGCCCCCAGAGATTAAGAGAGACAGGTTCATTACGAGACTAAAATATGATACAGTTTTATTTCAGTAATTCACTTGAGTAGAGGATCTTTAGAGGGAGGAAAGCAGAGGGCCTGGAGAAAACCCACAAGGTTAGACAAACTCCTTTGGAATTTGAATGTGCCCAGGTTATACGGTATTCAAACTAAATTTTCAGAATCCATTAATCAATGTCAATTAAACTAATGCGATCTAAACTCCTTTTTTGGGTCTCTTATAATATGTTTGATAAAATCATATTGCAAACCGTTGCTATAAATCTAAAAATATGCCCAAAATTGTTTAAAGATTCCTCATACATTCAAATATTGAAACAGCATTCAAATAATGTCTTTGAATATTGAAACAGTAAAATTTGTATTTGATGTAACTACTTCAATTGATAGTCCTAAATGTTTGTAAACCTTGTAATAATATACAGACCAATCAATGCAACAATTGACAATGATAGAAAACATCATGGTCACTTTGATTGAAAGTCAAAGGCGGATCCAGGAATTTTTGCAGGAGAGGGTATGCCAGGTTCCTGTTAACGAAATTTGACAGTTGACAATGCATGATGCCATCATTGTCTCCATATTACGTAGGCATACATACACACTGAGCTTTTTAAAGAGAAATCCAACACCTTGTTTGGCGTTCATTACATTGTGATTCAATTTCATTGATGCAAAGCACTAATTGTTATATCACATATCATGTCTATATCATTATCTCGCACTTTGAATACCCATCCCATCTCACCATCTGATGATAAAGGATAAAGTACATGACCATGACACTTTTCTCATATAAGTGTTGTTTTACAATTCTTTTATGTAGCTCTGGATCGCCCTTGAATGTACTTAATGTTTCATAAATAAATAACTTAACATCCACTCAAAACAAACTAGGTCACTGTCTGTTTTTGTTTCAATAATTAACTTACTAGCAGTGAGCAAAAATTTGAGAAACCCCACAAAGTGAGCAGTCAGCAAATATTTGAGAAAACCCACAAGGGGAGGGGGAGAGAGAGAGAGAGAGAGGGAGGGAGGGTTTAATGTCCACTTAACACATTTTGGGACTAACATATGGTCCAATTTTATTTCATTAATTCACTTAGCAGTGGGAGGAAACCAGAGGTCCCGGAGAAAACCCACGAGGTTGGACAGGCGACCATACTCCTTGTCACATACAAGCAGGGAATCGAAACCACGCCACTTGGCTCAATGGCAGACCTTATGATGCAACCATTCGGCCATCCAACCAACCCGGTTGGGGGGGGGGAGGGGGGCTCTAAGACTGTCAAAAACAGAACTAACACAGTTATATTGGACAACAATCTCTGGTATTATAATCAAACACAATGTTTCGAGAATATAATGTCTTATTGTTCTGCACCAACTGGGCTAATTCAGATTTTCAGGCATGGTTCCCTCTTGTCAGTGATGTCAGGGCCTGGCAAGGAACAATGTATAGTGGTTTGGATAGGATGAAAAACTAAAGTCCTGTGTACACTTCGGCGTCCTCATTAGCCCAGTAGGAGCAGAACAGTAGGACGTTAAACCGCATTTCAATTCATTTCCTGTATATTGACCTCACAGAGAAACCACGGCTCCCGAAACTGATAAGCATCCGCGATTGTAAAATTGGTTTTACCATCTCCATCTCGGATGAAATTATGAGATTCAAGGGATTTCTTTATGCATGAAATAAGAAAAAATGGCCATCATTTCAGCTTAGAATATTATACCAGAGAGATAACTTTCTGAATTCTCAAGTGGCTGATTGTGTGAGATGTCTAGTATGAATTAAAACAAAATGGACATCAAATAATCTTAGAATATTATACCACAGAGATGTCTTTCTGATTGCGTGAACTGTATCTACAACATGTAGAATGAGCATGACTGCCTAATGATAACAACAACGAGATTAGACCCAAATCTTCGTGGGTGATTGGTAATCGTCAATATTGAATCAATAGTCTTGGTTCCAACCAGATAAACTCTGCCATTATGTTTATTCATTTGCAGTATTTACTGTGCGAACATCTCAGAATAATTGTGACAAAGTAGACAGAAAGGAAAATGGTTAGTTATAAATATGTAACTAGTAGTCAACGTGGGTTCGGTGGGTTCGTTATGTTTCTCGTTATGACTTCAAAATAAAGATTATACTTGACAGCCTGCAAACAATATAAAACATGTCGAAATAGTGTGTTGATCGAGAGAGAGAGAGAAAGAGAGAGAGAGATGGGGTTCAACATCCACTCAACACAAACTAGGTCATTTCGGGACTAATACATGGTTCAATTTTTAATTCAATAATTCGCTTACGTGTAGGGGTCTTTAGCAGTGGGAGGAAACAGGAAGACCCAGGGGAAACCCACGAGATTGGACAGGCGACCCTACTTCTTGTCACGTGCAATCGGGGAATCGAAACCACGCCAGTTGACTCAATGACAGACCTTATGATACAGCAAGCACGTGCTAACCAATCGGCCATCAATGCCCCCTAAAAACTTGTAGAACCAAGTTATTACATAAAATGTAGGCGATTCAAGTAACTGCATGCCTGTATCATACAGATCTTGACCTTCAGCCCCTACTCCCCAATTAGAGGAAACAAAATAACTTTAAAGGAGAAGTCGAAGCTTTCATCGGCTCTTGCAAAAAGAGTGTTTTAGATCGTGAGGTCTGTCATTGAGTAAAGTGGTGTGGTTTCGACCCTGTGAATACCAGATAAGTAAAATAACTCTGTGAATACTAGATAGGTAAAATAAACCCTGTGGACACCAGATAGGTAAAATAAACCCTGTGAATACTAGATAGGTATAATAAACCTGTGAATACTAGATTGGTAAAATAAACCTGTGAATACTAGATAGGTATAATAACCTGTAAATACTAGATAGGTAAAACAAACCTGTGAATAATACATGTAGATAGGTATAATAAACCTGTGAATACTAGAAAGGTAAAATAAACCTGTGAATACTAGATAGGGTATAATAACCTGTAAATACTAGATAGGTATAATAACCTGTAAATACTAGATAGGTAAAACAAACCTGTGAATAATACATGTAGATAGGTATAATAAACCTGTAAATACTAGAAAGGTAAAATAAACCTGTGAATACTAGATAGGGTATAATAACCTGTAAATACTAGATAGGTATAATAACCTGTAAATACTAGATAGTTAAAATAAACCTGTGGATACCAGATAGGTACAATTAATCATAATTACCTGTGTCCATGTAAAGCAGCTAAATGTAAAGGAGTTTCACCACTTGAATCTGTACAATTTATATTCACAGATTTTAAATTCCATAAACTGTAAAAAAAAAAAAAAAAAAAAATTAGAAATGTTAAGGGACATATTATAAAAATGGTTTCATCGAGATTAAGTAATTAAATTGGAAATAAATGTACGCACGATGTCATTCTATTACTATACATGAAAAAAACTAGAGAATCTAAGTTAAAATCCGCATGTCACCATTCTTCTATACACGCCGCTGAGTAATAATTCCTCTCTCATTTTGCTTCCATTCCATTGAATTAGAAGAATTTCTGGATATATATTTTGATACCTTTGCTTTCTTTGGTTATTTCACTTAAATCAGGATGTAGTCAAATCCTGATAATTTTGAATTATCTATTTTAGACTATCATAGCAAGAACGACCTGGACCAGAGTGCACAAAGCATTCTCAGACTTAAGTTTGCCTGATTTTAACCTAAATATAGTCTTTTATAAAGCTTTTGTTGTTTTAATATATCAAATAGATCAATAAGAAACTATGTGAAAAGTTTTGTGTTTCTGGATCAAAGATGTTTCTTATAAACAGTGATTGGAAGTTGAGTAAATTCTTAAATGCTTTGTGAACCCGGGGCCAGCTATTTATCTAAATCTTACATAATGCATCTTTAACATAGTATGACAGTTGTTTAGAATTAATTAACAGATATATAATTGTTAGTATGAACATAATTACTGTGTACAGTTGGCTAAATCTATTTGTTAAGGCCAGCTCAATTTTTGTCAAGGTCGCTGAGATGTAAATAAGGTTAGGGCACAAGATTGTTGGCTTGATTGTAGGTTAGGGTTAGGGTAAGCATTGGGACTAGGTCCAGGATTAGGGTTAGGGTTGGGATTAACGCTAACCCTGTTTACATCTTGTGACCTTTGACCAAACTTGAAGTTGGCCTTATCAAATAGATCTAACCTTGTACAGATGTTTAACCATTTGTTTTTAGTCAATGACTCAATAACAGGAAACAGATTATCATAAAAAAAAAACGATAAAAAAAACCCCAGAGACCACTTTATTTTCTATTTAAACAAACTCTAAAATCTTTATCTTTGTGAATTACTGCTCTTCAATATTATTTCCTGTTTCAAATACTTCAATAAAATGAGTGTGTTTGTGATTAAGACGCTGGACCGCTTACCAGGAGGTCTCGAGTTTGCTCTCAGTGTTGCCCGAGAATGTGTGCATGTAAAAGAACCCTTGACAGTTGGAATACAAATTTAAAGTTGGCTGTAGCGCCGCTATCCGGGCAAAATTTCCCTCAAAGCACACTGTATGATGTTTACCCATCTTCATTAGCTCAATCAGTTCAGAAAACATGGAAGTTAAATCCCATTTTATTTCTTCCTGTTTCAACTACTTCAATAAAATAAGAAAATTGTACATGTACTTGAACTATGATTACTAATACCACTATAACAAAGATATCAACGTTACTTGTCCTAATCCCTAACTCTCACGTTTCTCAACTTATCTACGCTAGAATAGTTGGGTGGTCTAGTGGTCTAACGTGTGCTTTAGATCAAAAGGTCTGTTACTGAGTCCAGTGGTGTGGTTTCAAGTCTAAGCTTGTAAGTGACAAGGATCAGGATCACCTGTCCAACCTTGTGGGTTTTCTCCAGATCCTCTGGTTTCCTCCCACTGCTAAAAGATCCCTAAGTGCAAGCGAATCATTGAAATAAAATTGTACAATATGTCTCGAAATGACCTAGTCCTAACCTATGTTGACAAGTGGACGTTAAACCCATTTAACTAATCCTCAATAAGATGTACCAGTGCTTAATTTGATCATAATTAAACATTTAATTAAACATACATTATGCAAGAGCTAAATCTGTCTATTGCAGGTCTTTCTTTAGGCCTGAAATGTTATCTAAATTATTAATTAGACATTAATTAACCTATCCAGACCATAATCTACTCTAGATGGCATAGTTAGCCTGCGATCTTTAGTGGATTATGAGCCGATATAAAACATAACTTTCCTTCACGATTTAACGATTAAATGGATAATCGAGACTATGCTGTTTATCGTACTGACTTAAGTAATGATGATCAAGGCTAGGCGGAAATTCAATCGCTTTGTTCTCAGTTCATAGTGGATCAATTTGAATGAAATTTTCAGCAAATTGCCTTTACATTATCTAGTTTTTAACTATTATAGTGAGAACTGCCAACTCGTTATCGAATCTCCCATAATGTATCTTTAATTAACTTATCCAGACCATAATCAACTTTCGATGCCATTGCTAGCCTGTGATATTTAGCGGATTGAAATAAATTTTTTGATAAATAATTTAACATAAAAATGGATAATCGAGACTTTATTTTTTATTGTATTGACTTAAGTAATGATGATCGAGACTAGCCTAAACTTCAAAAGCTAACATGTATCTCTGTTCAAAGGGGAGCAATTTCGACTGAAATTTTCAGCATATTATAGTTACTTTATCTATTTTTCAACTATTATAGCAAGAAGTGTCAGCTCTTTATCTAATCACCCATAAATGATTGGATTCAATCAGATTATTAAGATACCCATCAAAAAAATTTACCCAACACATACATGTATAGGTGAAGCTGACTCACAGCAAACACTGATTTTACTATTCAAATATTTAATTTTAAGTCATTATTCAAATAACATTTCAATATTTTATTCAATTCAAAAGTTGGATCGTTTTTGAAGCACTTTTCCTGATATGTTTGTTTATATCTTATTAAATAATTTAATGTTGTTTTTTTTCTCCTGTAGGAAGTATTTTGAACCGTTACATCATTAATTAAATTAGTTTAAATAGCACTCTAGCCTCTCTGTCTGTCCAACCTGATGGGTTTTCTACGGGTCCTCTGATTTCCCCCCACTGCTAAACACCCCTATGTACAAGCAAATTATTGAAATAAAATTGAACATTAGTCCCAAAATGACCTAATTTGTGTTGAGTGGATGTTAAACCCTATTTTTTTGTTCACTCTCTCGTGAATAGCTCTGAAAAACTATGTTAATGCATTATTTAAATATTTGTGCGAGACACTTCTATGATATACTACGTCACCAATCTTTTCAAATTTCCACATGACATCACCTTGTTGGCTATCTTCAATCTTCTGAATGATGATCAATATGAAAATCAATATCGATTCTCAGAACTACATGAAAAATATATGACTCAGTGAAGATAAATTCTAGTATATATCTTTGGAAATGAAATGGGGTTTAACGTTCCTACTGTTCTGCTCTATCTGGGCTAATGAAGACAGGAATCACGGGATACAGCCGGCTGTGAGAGAAATTTTGCCTGGACAGCGGCACTAAGGCCTACTCTTTTTTTGTATTCCAACTATGCATGACAGTGTGTACATGGGACTTTTTTTTTTCCAAGCTGAAGGACTATGCATTGTCCCTTGCCAGACCTTCTATTCTGCACTGCTTGCAAGGGGGAACTACGTCAGACAGGACCTCCAGGTTAGCGAGCCAACGTCCTACACGCTGAGCCACCACTGCTCCAGAATACATCTTTGGACATTTTCAGATGCAGAATAAACATTTGCTTATATTTGTGGATTTATTATTATTTCATAAGATTAGTTGCCAGGCAACAAAACATAGCCTGTAACAACTGAGCCTTCTGCAAAGGTTGTCGCATCTTATTTATTCACTGAAAATTTATCAAGCGTTACAAACCAGGAAGTAGCTATCAGGAATAATCAAAATTTGATTGGCTTCTACTTCTAGTTCTAACCTTTATCAAATCGATCTGATAAATTTAACCAGTTAATTGATCAGTTATTATTGGAAATCATTGTTCAAACACTATGTATAAAGTTCAAGTCAATAGAATGGTAAGAGGGTTCACAGGAATTTTCAAGTAACAAAACTCTGACAGTAATTATCAGAAGTCGTTGACGAGTGATACATGTAGGCACTTTCTTGAACATAAACACTGTGTATAAATTTAAAGGAGGGTTGGGTGGTCTAGAGAGCCCGCTTTAGATCATAAGGTCTGTCGTTGAGTCAAGTGGTTTTTGACAAAGAATAATGTTGCATGTCCAACCTTGTAGATTTTCTCCGGGTCTTTCGGAGCCACAATGGCTAGGTGGTTAAGACGCTGGCTCGCTAGCCTGGAGGACAGGTGTTCGATCCCTGCATTGGCCGAGAAAGTCAACTGGATTTTCAGACGTGGTTTCCCCTTGTCAGTGGTGCAGAACGGAGGGTCTGACAAGGACAGATGTCTAGTCCTTTGGATGAGACAAAAAAACGAGGTCCCGTGTATACATTGGAATGCACGTAAAAGATTCTTTGGCAACTGGAATTCAATATAAGAGTAGGCGTTAGTGCCACTGCCCGGGCAAAATTTCCCTCATAGCACACTATATGGCGTATGCCCATCTTCATTAGCCCAGTATAGGAGCAGAACAGTAGGACGTTAAACCCCATTTCATTTCATTTCATTTCTCTGGGTCCTCCGATTTCCTCCCACTGCTAAAGACTAGTATGCACATTTTATTGAAATAAAATCAAAACATGTTAGTCCCGAAATGACCTAGCTAAGCCCTATTTCTGTCTCTCTCTCTATAAATCTAAAGTAAACCAGATTTAAACTTTAACCTCAAGAGCCCCATGGATAGGTTTGGTGACCATATATAACCATGTATAACAACCGATTTGATTAAATGCTAAATAATGATGACAAATTACTCATTAGTACTTTAAACTTGTTTGACAGTAATGTTAATCATAATAATTATAAGTGACAATTATCATGTTTAACAGGTTGTACATGATTCAATATAACCTTACTTTACCTAATAACAAAAAACAAAATATACAGCGCAGTTAACAAAACCTTTTACATGTACCTATATCTTCTTTGAGACGCATTTAGCAATTGACATCTGTAATAAACACAAAAACATAATATGGAACTGGAACACATTTATTATCTTAATTAAAGCGAATAGTGGTTTCCTCAAAATGGTTTATTGGCTATAATTAGTTGTTATATATTTTGTGTATATGGTTTCATAAGCTCTTATTCCTTTATCGGTGATTTGATTTAATATATTAAATGGTTTCCCTATTGATTCATGGTTAATTAGTTGTTTTTTGTATATATAAGCTTCTGTACATTGGAAGCGATATCACCTCGGTGGAAGCGGACATTAAATAAAGCTATTTCACACACATGGAATCGGATGTTAAATAAAGCTATTTCACACACACACATTTTCATTATCATTTACTTGAAAATGTTGAGAGAACCCTCAACGAAACGTCGCTTTAATTAAAATAGTAACTGTGTTCCATATTATATCTTAAACAAAATTTGTTTTCAAACTCCTGAAAGAAAACTGATGTGAACCTGTCATTTCCAGATACATCCGAATTAATTACCCTACTCAATAAATAAAGGAGTTAACCCTCTTGATATAGGTAACCAGATCAAGTCCCATAACTCTTGACAATAATTATTAAAAATTGCTGAAAATCAATATACTTCTTCATCTCATGAACAGTTTTACAACTTAAGCCTCTGGAGCATCCACAAGTAATTGTAGATGCCGGAACACCTGGCGAACAGACAAGGGTGATTACAATATACAAGCGCATTTTAATGTATACAAATAAAGTGATGAGCCTCTCTTTATGATTGAAAAATTATGCAGTGGTCCATTTGTTTAGTTAGCTTTTGGCTTTAATTTATATAACCGTTGATTATTAAGACAAAATCAATGATCATATCTCAAGACTGGTCATACAGTTTTAATTGTAGACAAAAACAAAAAAACACATCTCAAAACAATCCACAACTAAATCTGGATATAAATTATTTTTTACTTAAAGATACATTATGTAAGATTTAGATAAAGAACTAGCCATTCTTGCTATAATAGTTCAAAAGTAGATGATGTAAAATGAATAATTTAAATGTGCAATAATTTCAACCACCGTACTGGTTGATCGAAGCTATGTCTCGGTCCTCCATATTTGATTAAATCAAAGTATCGCTGAACCATTCTAATCTATTTAATATCGGAGAAATCTGATGCCATCGAGAGTTGATTAAGGCCTGGATCAGTTAATTAATGTCTAATTAATACTTTAGAAAACATTTCAGGCCTAAAGAAAGACCTGCAATAGGCAGATTTAGCTCTTGCATAATGCATGTTTAAATCAAAGATTTAATTTAAAAAGCCCTGGAGTTTGAAGTTCTATTTATTATAAAAAATACTGTTTTTCAATTGAAATAAAAAGGGGTTAACTAACATCATTTGCATCGTAAAGACAAGAGTATGTTAATAAACCAGTAATTGTTATTCCATAATTAGTTTTTAGTATGTTATTGTTCAATTACTAAATGCCACTCAAAGAAGGGTTAACATTCTACTTTTCTCTACCAACTGGGTTAATAAAGACAGGAATACGCTATACAGTATGGTATAGGAGCAACGGTGGCTCAGTGTCCAGTGGGTACGACATTGGCTCCCACCATGAAAAAAAATGGTTATGGTTAGTTTAAAAACAAATTTATTAATAGTTTGACTTTTAATATATTGTCATCTATATATACCCTTTATTAAAATGAGATTAGATTAGTTAAATACTCTAAAAAAAAAGATCCCTCTAAATATTAAAATCAGTTTAAATTGGTGCACTATTCTAAAGTAGTGTAGTTTAGGTCTAATCGTCTTGGGAAAATGTTGACGAAATAGAAAATTTATAATAAATATAATATGAATTGAAAAATAATCCAAGAAATAAAAAAACAAAATATATCTTAAACTTATAAGACTTCCCCATACCTGAGTTTCCTAGTTCTGAAAATATAAACACAACTAAAAGTTTAACAGGGCAGTGGTTTGTTAGGGTGGGGGGGGGGGGTGGCGGTTCAAATTAAATACAGGCATACAGACAGGGGTGGAACAACAGGTCTAGCTTGATTCAACTTTCAAGCACCCCACTCATAGATCATCTTTCTCATCAGATTTAGACCATTATATTTTTCAGTGGTTGTGAAGAACAGTTTTATTTCTTTTTTAAATGATAATATAAAATGGCATTTTTTTTTTTTTTTCAGTCGGGGTTGATGGGCCCTCTGACCACACCCAACGGTTTGAGATATAATCCACCCTTGCTTACAGATAGTGAATGTTTCTTAAATCAAGTATAATCCTGTCTTTTTTGTGTGAAAAAATGCGGATGTAGATTTGTGAGTGAAAAGAGAAATTGTTTTGAATTGAAAAACCAAACAGAATAGAAATGTGTCATTAATGATTATGATATAGCCTGCAATTAAATGCGATTCTACACCAACCTTCCTCGTCAGTATTTACACAGACAATTAACCGACAGACCAATTTTCGGGTATTTCTAGTATTAAGAAAGAGGATACGCATGATGTTCCGTCACACGAAGGGAACGTTTCTGATATTACTCACGCAGTTCCGAACACGCATTATCGAACTGTGTGTTAGTTATTTACCTTGCCAGAGCACTTGTCAAGCCCCCGCCTCCTGATGATTTGCGTGTTCTGTTTGTCAACAACTTCTCTATGACGGCCACATTTCCAGTTCTAGCGGCATCTAATAAATCTTGTTCTCTGCCCATTCTTATGTCAGAAAAAACATGAATTCTAGTTCCAAAAATTATACGAGGACTACATTATGCTACCACACTTTCCACTTCCTCCATTGCTATTTCAGCGCCATCTACAGAGTTCAGTGGGTCATGACCCCGAGACGTCAAACAGTGTTGTCATTAATTTGTCGTGCGGTCACCGTGATAATGCACGGTGGAATATGGGTCAGTGTTCAAATGAATAACTCATAATAAAAACATTATTTTTTCAGACATTACGCATGTACTTTGTTCGTCACAGAACAATCTAAACACAACAGCATAACGTAAACTAATGTGAAGGCCGCTTAAATTGTCACAAAAATAACTGAAATTAAAATTTTGTTTTTCGATATTATTATAAAAAGACAAAGGTGCAATGACGCGTTAAATATATAAATAAACGATATTTGTATAGTTTCTTAGTTTAAATGTGTGAAGTCTATTTATTGTGACTACTTGATTTGAGAATCCATGTCGAAATGTCACTCAGTAAATTTACAGTATCTTATTACTTCTGTACTTTTTGTAAGCATTGTTTGATAATTCTGAAACCACATATTAATGACACGGTAAAATTAACATGATTATGAAATGAAATGGGTTTTAACGTCCTGCTGCTCGGCTTCTACTGGGCTAATGAAGACGGGCATACGCCATACAGTTTGCTATGAGGGAATTTTTGCCCGGACAGCGGCACAACAGCCTATAGGCTATAGCTCTTATATCGAATTCCAACTGCCAAGGTATTTTTTACGTCCTCGCCAATGTGTACACGGGATGATTTTTGGTCCCATCTGAACGACTAGACAGTTGTCCTTTCTAGCCCTCCGTCCTGCACCACTTACTAGGGGAAACTATGGCGGAAAATCCGAAGAACTTTCTCGGCCAACACCGGAATCGAACCCGCGATCTCCAGGATAGCGAGACAGCGTCCTACCCACTATGCCACCTTGGCTCCAACATGTTTACGAGCAACGACAAGTTTGTATATATAAGGACGGTGTGTGCTCTTTGTGTAATTCAATTTTATCAACAAATATAGGAGGTTTAACCATGTGTAATTAGTGCAGACAGATATATGTTAGAGACTGAGTCTACCTGTATGTGAAGCAAGGGACGTGGAGGGGGCGGGGGGGGGGGGGTGAATGGTTAGCTTGTGTGCGTTGCATCATAAGGTCTGTCAATGAGTCAACTGGCGTGGTTTCGATTCCCGCGGTTGTACGTGACAAGGAGTGTAGGATCGCCTGTCACCCCGTGGGTTTCCTCCGGTTTCCTCCTACTGCTAAAGACCCCTAGCGCAAGCAAATTATTGAAATAAAATTGAACCATATGATAGTCCCGAAATGACCTAGTTTGTGTCTAGTGGACATTAAACTCTCTCTCTCTGAACCACCGTCTCTCTCTCTCTCTCTCTCTCTCTCTCTCTTTTACTCACTGAACTACCGCCCCCCCCCCCCCCATCCCTGGCTTCGGGAATCACTGGTCTAATCCAACACGAACAGGTTATTATTCTGAAATTGGCAATGGATCGATATGGAATGTGATATATAATCTCATACTTTTCGGTTCCCCCAATAATCCACTCTGTTCTAATGACCGGTGTATTGTGTATTCACCTATATCCACGTGTCCACGGAGCACAAACAGTAGTTATTATAGCACGCGCTGCTGGTTTGTTTATTTACCGCTACAGATCGTTTCCCTCGTGACGGCAGAACCAGCGTGTAAATTTGATTAAAAATGAAACGGTTTGTACGAAAGGTTTTGGGTTATTTAAAGGGCGTATGATATATGCTTTGGAACCTTAAATTAGACGAAAATGGTTCTAAAAGCACACAATAATGTTATATGAATGTATAGAAAGAGATTCTATTCAATTTTTGAAATTTTATTGTTAAGTTTGGTGAATATCTTGAACAGTCCAAATTGACCGACAGTCCTTTACGCCCGCTTTAATCTGTTCTAAACGTTTCTTTTTTCAATTACTATTTTGTCGTTTGTGAATCAGCCTTTACTAATTAGTTTCGTATTTTGTAAAATATGTTTTGCATTGTTCATTACAAATGGCGTCCGAAATCATAGAAATACACGACTCGTGCGCTGATTTTAAAATGATCATTATGTCTTAAATATTGGATATTATTTTCACGACAAGATTGATCGGAATAGACAAATATTGAATTTTAATTTGTGTTTTTAATTTTTAATATTGGGTTAGAAGCTTAGCTCCTTTAAACTATATTACGGGAACATCTTTGAATATTAAACTGATTTTAGCTGCTGTTATGTCAAGTAATGACGATGGAATTTGTGTAAGGAAAGACGAGAAAGTAGAAGTCCATTTTTCGATTAGTCTGTGGACACACGAACACACTATTTTCTCAACATTGGCTTTCTCTATGGATATGAAAATCCGTAGGAACGCAGATTCTCACCCCATCGAACAAATCATATATTATATAGGCCTAATCTTATTAGAGCTTTATTTTCATAATAATGAATAAGATATACAAAATCACCTTAAATAGTTCAATACAGAGGCTATGCGTATTTAGGGGCGATGGTACAGTGGCGTAGCAAGGGTTTTAAGCGCCCTTGAACCTGTTAAGTTGACCGCTAACAACGCAAAAATGTTGCGTTTCTTTGTCCCGTCAACCCCACCACGGACTGCAGCCTGATACAGGCGTAATATGAAGAGCTCCGTTTTGATTTTCTGATTTCTAGCAAGTAAATTATTTAGGTTATATAATATTTAACTTGAGACTTTTATATAAAATTTAGTGTTGATTGGCGGTCTCGTGGTTTAACGCGTGCGCATAATATCACAAGGTCTGTCATTGAGTCAAGTGGCGTGGTTTCGATTCCCCGCTTGAACGTGGCAAGGAGTAGGATCGCCTGTCCAACCTCGTGGGTTTTCCCTTGGTTATCCGGTTTCCTCCTACTTCTAGAGTCCCCTACGCGCAAGCGAATTATTGAGATAAAAGTGAACCATATGTTAGTCCCAAAATAACGTAGTTGTATCAAGTGGACTTTAACCCCGTCTCTCTCTCTCTCTCTCTCTCTCGCGTGTATGCAATGTATTTTATTAGGACAGGGACGTTATAAGGTATGAATCACTGATCGACAATAGAGGAGATATAAAATATGGAGAAAAAATATGTGTTCTTTTTTTTTCATGCCTTTGATTCGCTGTTTTGATTATATTTTTATAATCAAAGGACATTTCGATGATATCGGAAACGACTGGATTAATCACCGTATATGAACCTACATGTCGCCAAACTTCTTCCTTGTTAAGTACAGTCCCCGAGGTCGGGGTTTCGATTGAATGTTTTTGTGTATTAAAGGTATAATATGTAAGATTCCGTGTTTTATGTGTATTAGATTTCAGTATTATATTAGATTGAGTGTAAACCATGTCCTGGTAGACTGCGAGGTATACGAGGAGGAGAGAAGGGAACTAGTGAGAACAATGGAGACCAACAACATACCATTCAACACTAAGAACCTATACTCTTCCCGAGACCAGATCTGAAACTGCAAATCTTCGAACAAATCCACGCCCTAATGGACACAGTTGGACAAAGTAGAATAGTGAAGTAAGAGGGGGTCACGGTTAGACGGGCCCGGCATCTAAACACTAAACTACATATATAGGGGATTTATACCAAACTGGCAGGATAGTGGAGTAAGGGGGAGTCACGATCAGACGGACTCGGCATCTAAACACTATTCCACCAAAAACAGACACCAAACCTACAGAGTGGGATAGTGGAGTAAGGAGAGGTCACGATAAGACGGGCCTGGCACCTAAACACAAACCCCACAAAGATGACATCTACCAAACTAGCAGGATAGTGGAGTAAGGGGGAGTTACGGTCAGACGAACTCGGCACCTAAACACTATTCCGCAAAAAAAAACTGATACCAAACCCAGAGAGTGGGATAGTAAGGGGAGGCCACGATAAGACGGGCCTGGCACCTAAACACTAAAACGATGACATCTACCAATCCAGAAGCAGACGAGATCATCTACCAAACGATATGTTTTATATTAAATAAAGGGAAGAACTTCCCAATTAACCAAATCCATGGCCTAAGGCCAAATGGAAAGATTGCAAAATCATATTCTAAAAAACAGGAATCAGCTTCGGCTCTCCTATGTCTTGTCTGCGATATCACTTATGTGGAAGCAGACGTTAAACACCAAGAACGAACGAAACGGGAAGGAGAAGGTGGGTGCTGAAGTTTTCAGAGCGTGTTATATTGTCCACTTACTGTATATACTTACTAATAAGTAGAAAACAGAAGGTATAGGATATGACTGCGAAAAACAGCATAAACATAGGTCTAAGACACTCCCCTAGTGAAATTCTTCTCTGATTTTTACCATGAAAGGTTTCTATCAGCCCCTGTATGTATGTGAAACTAAAAATGTCTGTTACATGTAATATGTATTAGCTAGGTGGTTCATAATTGTGTCCGTCTATATATAAAAAAAAAAACAATTTGCGTTTAAGAATAATATTTCTTTAAAGAAGTCTAGAAATAGAATGAAGCTTGGCGTGAAAAAGGAAACTTCAAATTGCTATTTTAGAATTGTAGCCATTACCCCCAACGTGTGTTCCTTGCGTGCGGTGCTGCATCCCTTTTATTAAATGTATTTTAGTGACTGAATAAATTGTACGTTCAAGGGAGACTAATCCATTAAAAACATAATTTAAATTAATCCATAATTTATCATTCTAATGCTTTATTGTGTAGCTGTTTCATATTAATAACACATGATTTGTTGGCACAGTAGCAAATATTTTACTCGGGAAGCACGTTTTAAGACAAACATAATAGCTTTTAGAACATTAGTGACGAAAGATTTTCACATGAGGTCAACCAGCTGTTTTGATAGTAAAGAAAATGTCAAATTCCCATGCGCAAAATTTATGCATAATTATTTTTCTGGTTATTTTATAATCTTATGCATGATTGGGTGATAAGAATGGATGAAGCCAATCAAATGTTTTAATACAGTTTTCATGTGACGTCACAGTAGTCTTAAAATAGCATACTGATGTAAACAAGCCAGGAGAGTTGAAAACGTGCTGGTGAAAGGACGTATGAATCTTGATTGCAAAGATGACGAAGCCATTGTCAGTTGTAAGTATTTTGCAAACATATTACCTTTTGTTTTTAATAATAAGCACATTCTTTAGTACAAAAACAAACATTTGCGTATTAAATTATGTCGAAAGGGGTACAGAATTCACGAATATTTTTTCCGGACAAAGAAAGATGGTCGAATTGTGGAGGCTCGCTAAGCTGTTGGCGATATGATAATTTTCTGTAGGTCGTAAATAAGTGATTTTCTTCTACTTCACGTGTGACACATATGAATCTGCTCGAGCAATGTTAACAATATTTGGAAAATTTTCCCAACAATCAAATAAACAGAAAAATGAGAGAATAAAACTGTTTCAGTGTCTTGTGAAAATCTATTTAACTGTGTAAGTCGCACTGTAAACAGGAGCATGTGACTGACCCATTTCTTTCACTGACAATTCGGGCAATCCCATCAGTTATGCTTTGACCTTTGGTAAAAAGAAATAAAGGAGGGAATCAGTTTTTAGAGTTGATTTGATTTAAATAACCCAAGTAATATAATATGTCAGCCAGTTGGAATTTGTGGACTGGTTTTTTTTTATATTGTGATACTGAGACACGGTTAATACTTCCCTAAAATGAACATGACATGATGAAGGACAACAATCGCTTTTCTTAAGCCTTTAAGGGATCTTTAAATTTATCAAATAAATATTGTCAATGTTGATAGGATTCTATTAATTTTGGAAAGCTGTAAATGACTACCTATAAGGTTATACATGTATCTATATGCCTGGTAGCTTTCCAGATAAGGCTTTCTCGAGATCAATAATTATCATTTACACGTTATTAATTATTTATTAGTGTAATCACCTGTGAAGTGTTATTCTTAGTCTTCACCAGTAGGTCATACCACGATGATGATGAAATTGTGATATAATTAAGGTAACCTATTTGGGATAGGAAATGCTAAAGGTAAAATGATACATAATTCCAAATGACCCCAGGCTACAAGCTAATATACAAGGCTATTTGTGTTATTTCTATTTTTAGATAGGACACAGCTGATACCCTGTGTATATTTTGTATCATTTGTATTATATACTGCCTAATCTACATGTTGTATATATCATCACAATTCATTTCTAATAATAAGCTCAGAAGAATGTGTATTGAGTCCAAAAAAGTACTGATCAAAACAAAGCCTGACAAGTCAACATATTATACTGCTTGAATATATCTTGTCTTCATTAGCCCAGCTCGGAGCAGAACAGTAGGACGTTAAACTACATTTCATTTCTGCTTGAATATAATTAAAATAATTTCCATAAATAACTTTCACCTGTGTAATAAAATAAAGAGTTAAACTACAGTAAACAGGGTCAGTTATTTGAAGGGTTTTATTTAAAGTAGCTAAGTCTCTAACTCAATATCATCCAAAATCTTCAACATTGAAAACACAAATTATTTGTCAATTTAAATCAACATTGATGCTGTGATCTTACCGGAAAAAGATGGGCTTCTGATATCCAATATTTAAGACAAAATAAAGATTTTACCATTGGTACACGAATTGTGTACCATAATGCGTTTCAGCCCCAGTTCTAGCAAGAGACTCGAGGAACGAGGCTAGACATATTGCACCAAACCAAACGGCGTATGTAGACTGGAATACCCAGGCGCTAGAAATTTGCATTCGATTGAGATTGCTGGCTTATTTCGCGGAACATAACTGATTTGAAATTAGAGTAAAAACGGAAACCATTGAATGTATATCAGTTTATATATATTCATATAACAGTATTATGTGAGTTGCGACCCACTTGTGTCAATTTCTAGGTCCCAAATGTTAGCGATTAGGTCCTTTAAATCTCTTGTAAACGAAAATAATGTGGAAGTTGAATCTCTAAAAGCGGGGGATCATTTCAGAACTAATATTTTGTTTTAAATTTATTTCATTAATCGCTTGTGTAGAGGGGTCTTTAGAAGTGGGAGGAAACTGGAAGACCTGGAGAAAACCCACGAGGTTGGACATATGACCCTACTCCTTGTCACATTCAAACAGGGAATCTACACCACGCCACTATGGTACACATTTACATGGCCATGAACCACTTGTTTAATGAAGTTATTGTTCTGTAATGATGTAACAGGTTGGCTGTTAGTCCTAACAAAAGAAATGTTTTATGATATTTATTGGCATGAAGCTATGTTTATAATAAATTACATGTGTGCTCAATCTGTGAAGATGTTAATAACACTGATTTGTAGTACATATTCACAAGTCACTCACTTATCATAGCATCTGTTAGAGATACAATCTCTTGTTTAATCATGAATAAAACCCAGCATTGTATTAAAATAATTGTGGTTTTTATATACATATTACATGTACATTTATACACATACCAGCCAACCTACATGGTTACAGTATTCTGTCTCTTTATTTAAATACCATAGAGCCGTTTGTGTGTTAATTTTAAAACAACTTGTAAAATTATTTGTGTAGCATTATATTTTTAGTCTATGGTTTTATAGCAAAAAGAAAACACATATTATTGTATTGTACATGTGAAATACAGTGTTTTGTCTCAGTTGTAAAATAGCTAATATAATCTTAGTTAGGTGGCCTAGTCTACAAAGGAATACCTTAAGATCTAAACGACACTGATCAGATAAATTTCCTTTATAATGAGATGCTTGAGTGCAGCCAGCAAACTTTAATCAAAACACTTGATCTAACTGTCATGATATACATGTATGACTAAATACATATAGCTTTTTTTACAAATAAGTCTTACCCTCTCAATCAGGGGGGTTGGATGGCCGAATGGTTAGCACGTGCACGCTGTATCATAAGGCCTGTCATTGAGTCAACTGGCGTGGTTTCGAATCCCCGGTTGTACGTGACAAGGAGTAGGGGTGCCTGTCCAACCGCGTGGGTTTTCTCCGGGTCCTCCGGTTTCCTCCCACTGCTAAAGATCCCTACGTGCAAGCAAATTATTGAAATAAAATTAAAACCATATGTTAGTCCCAAAATGACCTAGTTTGTGTCGAGTGGACGTTAAACCCCATTTCTCTCTCCTCTCTTACCCTCTCAATCATTAACAGAAATAAGTTGATGTTTGTATTGCTAATATCAACATTTGGTTCCGATCTCCCCAACCTCATAAAAACATGCGAAAATGTTCAATTTTCATTCCTACATGTACCTATATCGACAATATATTATCGCTGCTGAATATTCCCGGATTCACGGGGGGGTTGAATGGCCAAATGGTTAGCGCTTGCGTGCTGTATCATAAGGTCTGTCATTGAGTCAACTGGCGTGGTTTCGATTCCCCTGGTCGTACATGACACTGAGTAGGGTCCCTGTCCAACCTCGTGGGTTTTATCCGGGTCCTCCAGTTTCCTCCACCTGATAAACACCTGGTTATATTTTATTTCCTATGTAAAATTATTGAGTGGGTTTTCGGGCTATTGTCCATAAATAGCATGTTTGCTGATATCATAACCATGTGATTACAATGCTTGTTACATAGATATAGGTCACTGATTCCCTTTAAAAGTTTAGTGAACCGACTATAATTTTATGAGAGATATAAATAAACTTATTATAGCCTACTGCTAGGATGAAGTAAACAGAGTTATTAATAAAATAAGAAATGTATAAATGTATTGTAAGTTCACGCAATTAAATAAATATTAACATTTTTCTTTTTCGGATATATAAACAAATTTATTAATATAACTCTGTAGGGAAATTCAAAAGGTAATCTTTTAGAATCACATAAAGACCAATAGATATTGGTTATGTGATAGAAGCCAGCAAAGGGGGTTGGGGCAGGGCAGGGTTGGGACATGGCAGGGTGGGGGCAATTGAGGGAATTATATATATATGTACATGTACATGTAGGTCTACCATATTAATGTTAGTCTCCAAAATAAATTATTTTGCATTTTGTGGATATTAAATACCATTTCTATCTCTAAAATATTATTTGCAGTAATATATTATATAATCTATGTAAAGGTTTTCTCAACCTTTTTGACATCACTGATTACTTTGACATTTTCCAACTACCCACCTGCATGTATGTACAGTAAGTAGTCAGTACTGAGTAAATATTTAAAAGGGTACCAAAATTATTCAACTTTAACAATACAGTAAAAATAAACATCTTTAATAAATGTAATGTCAGTAGTGAAACAAAATGGTTTAACTCTACTGCACCAACCAGGCTAATGAAGACAATCATTTTTGATCTCATGAATGTGTTCCACGTGGCTGACATGACGCATCTAGTGTCTATAAACAGGTTTCTATATAGTCTACGAATCTACAAAATGTGCAACATGACAGTGTTGTTACGGTTGACTCATACATGTATTTTATTTTCAATACCGGTAATAGAAATAAAAATTCAAAAGCATATACGCCCACCAATATTTCAAATACCCATTGCCTTAGCACATTTGCTCTCTTCCCACACAAAAGTAGAAATCTCTCACTGAGAAAACCCTGGTGTATGCAATAAGGGTGAAGTATTAGGGGTTGGTGAGATGGGTAATCATCTTATGATCGCTTGTGATTAGTATTGAGGTCACATGACTAACATCATGTGGTTTTTATTCAGTGCAGCATACCTTTATATCTTCCCAGTTAAAATACAGATGTGACATCATCCTTTGATGCTGGCGTACCATTATTTCAAATAATAGTGTCACCACGGTCTATCAAAACCCTATAATTACCTTTCTATGGTTGAATTAATTATGGGTCACCTTAACACTGATATAACATCTTAGAGCATAGTCCTCTTAACGAGTATTCTAATAAGAATGTATATTAATCGGACCGTGGTGACAATAGGTTTAAGTGCAGAAAACTAAATGCTTTTACCATTTTAATCCTTACCCTATCCAGCTTTCAATTAATGATAAATTAGAAAGACAGGTCTCTTGTTTGCTCCTAGTATTGCTGTTGCATGAAAAAGTTCCTCAGGATTTGGTGGTCCTGGCGCGTTGACTCATGTCAGTGGTTTAGGAGGTACAACCTAACAAGGACAATGTTGTTTGGATGGGATGGAAAACCGAGGTCAAGTGTCAAAAGAACCCATGACAATTGGAATTCGAAACAAGAGTGCATGTAGGTCGTATATGTAGCTCCTCTGTCCATACAAAATTACCCTTATAACTTACTGTATGGCGTATAACCGTCTTCATTATCCCAGTCAGTGCAGAAAAGTAGGAGGTTATTTTTAAACCCCATTGTATTATACATTTTGCCATTAACATGCTTAAAATTAATCAAAAATATATTTTTATCATTTCAGTTGAAGAGTGTTGGGCCGAAGTTGGTGCCATTCTTTAAGACAGTCTCAATATTTTTTGTATTATTTGGAGAAGAGTCACACCCATCTATATTCTACTGTATAGTAAAATGTCTACCAATCATATCACTCATATTATTCGTTCTTTTACACGGAATGAGTTTAAACGAATACTATCGTTACGCCAGACATATTCTCATTGGATTATTTTTCTCGGCTCTGGGTGATGCTTTTCTAGTCTACAAGAAACAGTATTTTGAACTGGGTATTTTGATGTTTGCCATCGCACAGATATATTATTCTCGAGCATTCGGTTGGCGTCCATTTAACCCATATGCTGGGACAGTCTTCCTGGTTCTAGGATGTATCGTGTATTCATACATCAAAGATGGCATCAAGGATGTTGTATTGAGCTACATCGTAGGTCTGTACGTCGCTTTAATCAGTACCATGGCATGGAGATCGGTGGCTCGAGTCCAGTTTTTTGATGATTTATGGACTTGGACCAAGCTATGTGGATGTGCTGGGGCTATATTATTCATGATATCGGATCTTACGATTGCTATTGATAAATTTGTCACTCCTGTTCCTTTCTCACATGTGATAATCATGTCTACGTATTATGCGGCTCAAGTCGGCATCTCATTATCTGTAGTTGACAGTCAAGTGGATGAACTGTTGAAAAAGAAAGTTTGAACATAATGATCCTATATATGTAAATCAACTCTGTATTTACTGTGTTTACATATTTGTTAAACAGATATGATAGAATTCAAAGTTGAGACAAACTTGTTGAAACATTTAGAAGTGCTTATTGTTTAATATGACCTTCTCCAAGAATACAACCAAGGACACTGGCGGTTCAGTTATATGACAGATATTAGTTGAACTTGGAACTTTGAGTATCTTAGTTCTTTAACATCTGCTTCCACAAAAGTGATATGGCAGAACTTTAAGATACAGATGATTGTATTGTACGTGTACATGTATTATTAAATGACGGCTTATATGTGTATAATACTTGAATGGAACTAGATGTTTATCAGTGAAGTGTGCTAACTTAAAACCAACCAAATTCTATATCCCAGCTATATATGTTTTTAAATATCTCTATAATCAATTTATACATTAAAATGTATAAATTGATTATAGAGATATTGAGATAATTATTGCAAAATGTGTTTCCATATTTAGAGTTTTCCATTATGTGATATAAAGAGAAAATCAGCCCTGGAGCAAGTTTCCCAGTTAATTTGTGAGATTGATGGTAAACATTACTGATGTACATTCAGGAATTATTGCTATCTCTTAATTGAAGAGAGGGGTTTAAAACATGTAGGCATCTCACATCTGTATGTTCTTCTCTCCAAATATTGTTTATATTATATATAACACAAATTCTCCTAAAGATACATTATGTAAGATTTAAATAAAGAGTTGGCCATTCTTGCTATAATAGTTCAAATATACATGTAGATAATGTAAAATCAATATGTTGAAAATTTCATTCAAATTACTTCATTTTATGCCAAGTTATAACTGTTAGTAGATTTGACAAGTTGTGTGAATTGTAGTAACAAGGGCACTGGTATATTTGAGACTTAGCCTCGGTTTCCCATTTTTAAATGGAGAACAGTTCTAATCTAGTTGATATCTTGGGTATCCAATGCCATCAAGAGTTGATTATGGTCTGGATAAGTTAATTAATGTCTAATTAACAGTTTAACATGGACAAACAAAGTTCAGTTATCTTTCTTATTATTTCTCTTTACTTTGATTCCATAAGTAGATTCTAATTGTCCTGTGCTGAATCTCGTTAAGGGAAAGGATATTGAAATGGGCTCTGATCTATCCTTTCGTACTGGATTTGTTTCCGGAAACACTGTACGCACATCAACCTATTATAATAGTTGCGTCGTTTACTAATTGGATATTGGAAATGTCTCGATTTAAAAAATTATATAATTCCTCAAAAACAAATTTGACTTTTGCTAATTGGAAATTTCTCTGTTCCATGATTTATATATTTCCTCAAAAACGTATTTGACGTAGTTTTTGCGCGAGGATTTTGTAGACTATTTCCTTCAAAACTGACTTAGTTTTTATCCAAGGGCGTCGAATGTTGAGTCTTTCTAATACAATTCAGTTGTCTGACCTTCCAGTCACAGAGGTTAAATAGGTTCTAGCTGATCGGGTTTAGGGTTAAAAATCCTACATTTGCCTGTTTAGTCATATGTAAAAACTATATAAAAAATTGTCCATTCTGTTTAATTTTGCAGTCTGATTTAAATGCAGATGCTATTCCGTTTTATTTTTTATAGTTCAAAATTTCGTTTTACTTGTCTTTACTACACTAGGATTTAGACGAATTAGCCAATGAAACGGTCTGTTGTGACTAGTTCTTGGCATGCAGTACATGGAACTGTGGGTATTCCACTAGAAACATAAACGCTGCTTAGTTAATCAAATGTCTGACGCCATGGGGCCAAAAGCCTCTGGGATGACCCCTGACGTAACCTGATGTAGTGGAGGCCATCGAAAGTATAAAAAAAGAAATAAAATATAGATCTGTAATTTTGTAACTGTAATAGATAATATTCGGGATATATTAGATTTATTAAAACCAAAGAATTAAGATATACATGTAAATAATGGTAGACCAGTGATATTTGGTCTGTAAATATTCTACTTGTACCTGTATATTAATTATCAATTGGAATATAATGAATGAGTTCTTTGTGGGAAGATAATTCAGTAATAATTGTAAATAGGATTTGGGGAGGTATTTTTGATCAGCATTTAATCATATTTGTGTATATATTTGTTCTGTCTTTATTTCCACAACTCCAGACTGTATCTCCCTTATAGTAACTATTGATGTTTTAGGTGGCTGTTTCCACGTATCAGCCTTCTGTAAAGTCATTAGACCACATGCTTTGAATTTCGCGTACACAAAGTAAGCAGAGGTGGATACTCCGCGATAAACTTTATAGTTTGTGTCATGTGTAAGTCACATAGCAATCTATTTCAAATAACAACCTGGAAAATAGTTGCTATCTAATACATAAACATTCTTTCATGCTTCATTTCCCTAATATTCACAATTTGAATTTGTATAAATGGCATTAGAAAATGAACATTATTTAAATTATGGATTTATTATATTGGTCAACCGTTTGGTTATGTATATTTATTTATTAATTATAAATGTTGTTGTGTATAAATGAAATATCTATAAATTGATTAGTCGACAGACCTGTTTAATTAATTAACTAAAGAGGAAATCATACTTTGGTGATCAGTAGGTAAATGTACCATCAGAATGGTGATATGTTAATGGGACATCACAGTTGCTCAGTGAGTAGGGCGTTGGCTCGCTAACCTTGATGTCCTGAGTTCGATCCCAGTGTTGTTCGAGAAAAAGTTCATTGGGATTTTCAGACGTGGTTCCCCCTCTGTCAATGGTGTAGGGCCGAGGGCCTGGCAAAAGATAAAATATGGTCGTTCGGATGGTCCAAAAAAACGAGGCCCTGTGTATACATTAGAGTGCACGTTAAAGAACCCTTGACAGTTGAAATTTGAAATAAGACTAGACCAAATATGATTACATGAGAGTATTATTTCCTCTTTAAAGATAAAAATGTTTGGACATATAAATATATTCATAACAGACCACAACACAAGGTATATATGGATATAACTACTTTTGTATTATTTAATAACGATTTTCGTAATACATACAGATCACGTTTTCAAGTTAATGATGAATATAGAGAAGTAGTTATATCCATATATACATGTACCTTGTTTTATGTTTTATTATGCATAGTTAACCATGCCTCTAGATGTTATTTAAAGAATTTAAATATATGTCTAGCTTAATTAATGGCATCCATGCTTATTAAATGTATAAGCAGGTGGTTTATACCGGTAATGTCCATACATTTTCAATACATCTAGTGGTTATGTTCAGTATTAAATTCTATAAAGGGTTTTATATTAAGATTTCCTCTAATTAGTGTGATATATTAAGTCAAATTGAGATGTATATTTATTTAAATATTTTTTGTCTCATATACATGTTGTCTACTAGTAATCAACGTCATGTTTTATTTATACCATTTTAAGTGCATTTCATCAAATTATTTCAAACTACTTGGTAAACTAAAATACAGGAATAGAATTACAGGTTTATGGTTAAGAAAATGAATATTAAAAGTTATTGTCTGGAATTAATAGCATCTCCATTAGTTTAATTTTTGGTTCTTTGGGGTCTTGATATGTAAAATTTTTGTAGGTGATCCTGAAAAACAAACATCCAAATTAGTATGTCCTTATTTTAGTTTTTTTCATTGTTGTATATTGCATGTAATTTGTACAATCAGACAGATTAGGATTTAATTTAAGTTTGTTTATCACTCAGGATAAATATTTCCTCTAATGCTTATAGTAGAAAAAACCTAATATATGTGTATGAGATTATCTATTAATCAACTCAGTCCATTTATCAACTCTGTTCCTCTACACTTCATAATGAGGCCATACCCAGGGCCGTAACTAGCTCAGCCATACCCAGGGCTGTAACTAGCTCAGAGTGGGGGGGGGGGGGAGGGGGGCGTCGTGGGGGAGGATTTTCAGAGGGTGCTGTAAAATTCACGGACAATGTACATGTATATCTATTGTTTTTATGGTATCGACAATTTTTTCACAGGGGGGTGGGGGGGGGCGAAACTTTTTGAAGGGTGTCAAATGCACCCCTCATCCCCAGTTACGGCCCTGGCCATACCAATTTGATTTTCTGTTTTTCGTGGTATTGATAACTTATAATTTGTTCATTACAATATTATGTCCTCTCTGTGCCACTGCAAATTACATGTGATACATGTAATTTGATATCACTCAGTTGTCTCCCTTACATGTAAGTCATCATTTGACTGGTGCAGAACTGTATTTATGTTTCCAATGAAATGAATTGGAGTTTAACATCCTACTGTTCTGCACCGATTGGGCTAATGAAGACGGGTTTATGATTAAGGTTAGCACTGTATGTAAAATATACTTGAAGAACTGTAAAACAATGAATAAATGTGTTAAATGAATCATATTTCCAGCAACCACTGTAACTATATCTCAGAAAAAGAGGTTGGTTTAAAGTGTGTAAATATAATGAGAAAATGACCTATTCATTCAGTTTGAAAGTTTCAGGTCAAAATATTGAGATGTTTGGAAATAATCACCAGAACAGTTTGTTACATAACTCTTATAGAGTCTGTGTCTGGGTTTATTTTCATTGAAAGGCCTGATAAACTTAACTATTCAATCCTGTAGGCTTTTAAAACCAGGAATAAGGTGCAAAATTATATTGGCCCTTGGAAAACAACACGAAACAATGGTATATCTGCTACCAGTAGTTGTAACTGGACACATGTCTGAGTTATATCCAGAAACAGGGTGATTGCCAGTCACAAAGCCGATATCCAAATCCACTGGATAACTGGTCATTGCTATTTCATTGATAACATATTACAAAGCTTCAGATAGTGTCTTGAAACTGAAATAAAAGGTTCTTACAACCCTCTACACAGAATCAACCAGCTTGATTCCCTGAAATATATATCTCATATGTCTCCTTTAATTTGATTTGTCTGTGAATAGCTACATTGATAAACATATTAGTCTTGATAATAATAGCCCTCTAGCATGATATGATACTCACTTCCAAACATGATTAATTTACTAATTATTTATAACATTAATAAAGTAATGGCCTGAAAGTTGTCTGGTGCTGGTACTTGTTCTGTTGGAACTCCTATAATGGTTTTAAGTTGCTATGAATATACCCAGCATGGTATTAAAGTAACTAAGTCTCTAACTCAATATCATTCAAAGTCTTCGACATTAAAAACACGAATTATTTGTCAATTTAAATCAACATTGATGCTGTGGTCTTACCGGGAAAAGATGGGCTCCTGATATCCAGTATTTAAGACAAAATAAATATTTTACCATTGGTGCACAAATCGTGTGCTATAATGCGTTTCAGCGCCATTTGTAACAAGGGACTTGAAGAACGAGAGCATATGCAATAAATACTAGCGATGTAGACTGGTATTACCAGACGCTAGAGATTGCCATTCGATTGAGTTTTCTGGCATATTTCGACGAACATTACTGATTAGAAATTACAGTAAAATCAGAAACGACTGAATGTCAATCAGTTTATATACATTCATATTAGTAATAATAATAATATTACATTATTATATGCGCTGCTACCCATTTGATTCAATATTAGCGACTTAGCTCCTTTAATTACTGTACCCTCTTATACCTTTAGGTCACATTAATTTCATGAAACATTAATTCCTTGTTTAAAAGTACAATGATTCATATTCCTGCTATGCGCTTTATAATGTTCTTATCTGTTATGTACCGAGTTGCTATGAAAACTAGAAAATCATTAAAATTATGATTGATGGGCTGAGTTGATATGACAAACAGAAACTCATTTAAATTATGACAATTAAATTATATGTTCATTGCACAAAGTTAATAAAATAAGGAAAAACGGAAAAGAAAGAACTAAAAATTGTATTGTAATAATTGAGTTGTGTATTTGTTGAACAAAAATAATTAAAAAAAATAAAATAAAATAATTACTAATTAGAGTTGTGGAAGCCAAGTGTAGGAATGCTTCTTTAGGTTTTAAGAATTTCAAACATGTTATGGAAGCCAAGTATAGGAATGCTTCTTTAGGTTTTAAGAATTTCAAACATGTTATGGAAGCCAAGTATAGGAATGCTTCTTTAGGTTTTAAGAATTTCAAACATGTTATGGAACCAAGTATAGGAATGCTTCTTTAGGTTATAAGAATTTCCAACATTACTATTGAAGCCAAGTGTAGGAATGCTTCTTTAGGTTTTAAAAATTTCAAACATTATTATGGAAGTCTAGTGTAGGAATGCTTCTTTAGGTTTTACAAATTTCAAACACTATTATGGAAGCCGAGTGTAGGAATGCTTCTTTTGGTTTTAGAAATTTCAAACATTATTATGGAAGCCAAGTGTAGGAAGGCTTCTTTAGGTTTTAGAAATTCCAAACATTACTATGGAAGCCAAGTGAAGGAATGCTTCTTTAGAGAAAAGGAAAAATTCTAACTCCATCTGTTTTGTGAGTGTAAATGGTTATGATAAAATACAGATGAGTGATTCTAGTAAGCACAAACAATGCAATTATTTGATGTTTTATTTGTATGTATGTATTTATATTTTCAAATCTTCATTGTTAATGTGGTGTTTATATTTATCCTGGAAAAATTCCCCCCATTTTCTAATCTTTTTTTTATGGGAGTATTTAATCATGGTTGTTCTCATTATTAATATTTTTTTATTATATTAAGTATATTTAACTATTTCTAATTATTCTCTATTATTAGGGTAGGATATAAGTCATTTGGCCCCTTGTACCCTTGGGGCTCCATGCTAGGGTAATCTACTTGAGTCTTCTTAAGTAAAACTATGTTTGTTGTCATTTTTAATAAATAAATTCTCTAAAGACACCTTGGCTGTAAACCTAGGCGCTTACCAAAAATGTTCCCAGCTGTGTCTTGCAGCTTCAAAGACTGACCCTGTCTGTTTTTGGTCAGTTTTAATAAATTATTTCAATACAGCAGACCTTGGCCGTGAAACTAGGGGCTTACAAAAAATGTTTCCTGCTGTGTCCAAATCCTTACCGTTCCATTTCTGCAGCCCCAAATTAATGATTTGAAAAATGGCTAACGTTTGTTGTCATCCCTTACCACTTGATTGAAATGGGGTTAAAAGTTCTATGACTGCTGTAGCCCATATTTTATGGTTTGAAGAATGGCTAACTAATATATCCCTTACTGCTTGACTGAAATGTGGTTTAAACTTTAAAAGTCCTACAACTATTGCAGTTCCAACTTAATGGCATGTCTTGTAAGTTTTATTACATATTTTTGTAATGGCCTGTATCTATTGTACAACGATATTAATTACATGTATTATTGTGTACTTAATAAGTGATATATATATATATATATAAAAATATCAAATATTAAATTTTGTGCATGTTTTGTAGAATTATCGCTCATATAATATGTTCCGAGCTCTTACTATACATCCACTTGCACTGAGAAGTGTTGTTAACTTTCTAAATACATGGGCAATAGAACCAATGCTCAACTTTCTCAAAGTCACATTAAAACTATTGTTCTTTTAAAGATGCATTATGTAAGATTTAGATAAAAAGCTGGTCATTCTTGCTATAATTGTTTAAAAATAGATAATGGAAAATGAATATATTGAAAATTTCATTCAAATTACTTTATTCTGAGAATTTTTGACTGTTTGAAGATGTAGCGTAGATAGTTTAATATCGCAGCAACGGTACTTGACAACAGAGACTATGTCTAGATTATCCATTTTATCATTAAAATTCTATCTCAGCATGTTCAAATCCATTTAAATCTCAGTCATTCGATGGTCTAGAGAGTTAGTGGCTTGTCATATTAATAAATGTCTAAATAATAGTTTAGGTAACATTTGAAGCCAAAATAAAGACCTGCAATAGACAAATTTAGCTCTTACATAATGTATGTTTAAATTATAAAACTATCCTCCTTCATGGGATTTCATCATTTAAATTTACTACTTGTTTTTTGGACATTATTATCCAGTCTTTATTTTCATTAGTCTTGATCACTCAGGTCCAAATTGTTTCTGCTCAGCTACAACAAATACTCATCTGGACAATATATCATTCATTGTGGGTTTGTGCTGACTGATTTTTGGGTACTGGTATATAATGCAGCATACCATTACTAAACTTAAGCTGCCTGTCTACCGTTAGCTCCGTATAAAATAGATGGATCTCTGCGTGCGGAATGATAATACAGTTGGCATATTTAATCATTGCCCCTGCACTCCAGTTGTTAATGGGGGTATCATTGCCCCTGTACTCAAAGTTTTATTCAGGGTATCATTACACTGTATCAGATGTATTCTGCCCAACCAATCATAAGAAACACTAAATTTCTGTATGACCTTTGACATTGAATAGATAATTCATGTTATTTTGTACAGACCAATATTCATTGTACTTTTTTTTCATAACTTTATATTTTGTACCCACCACTTCTTTTAAAACTTATAATGGGGGTATCATTGCTCTGCACCATATGCATTCTGTAGGTGAAGGTCATTTTCATGACAACCATCATAAGATATAAGACACTGAAAAGACAATTCACATTATTTTTTCCAGATCAATATTCATTTTACTTTTAGTGATAACTTTTCATTGTACCCACCCCTTTTTCTAAACTTCATTTATCGCCACATGTTTGTTGTTTAAGAAATCTCTTGTAATTACCGTATCTATGACCAATTTCAAGAGTTATTATAATTTTTTTTATTGAATACAATATTTAATTGTTAAGTGTATAAATTATTTTTGTTGTAACTTGGTGAAACACACCACCACCCAGGAAGGTGAAAAAAAATATCTATTAAATTGTAAATATTAATTAATTAATTATTATGATTATTTAAGAATTAAAGTTGTCTTCAAATTACTATTCTATGTTGATTTTTTGTGATCAGGGATAAATTAATTATTACATCCTTTGTTTGATATATAACATACCATGCAGATAGAAACTTTGGGAAAAAAAAATCTTCTTGGGGCTGAATTTGTTACCAATGACAAATTCTGACAAAAATAGGTTTTCATAGTTTGTTTACCAGTATACTGAAATCTTTCAACACTGCCCTCTCCACCTACTCCAACAATCTGATTAAAACACAGATCCTATTTCGTTTCTTTTTTTTATAGTTCAAAATTTCACAACACTAGGATTTGGAAGAGTTATAACCCACGTTCTGCTTAATGTGAGGGATTAACCAATGAAACGGTCTGTTACAGTAAGTTCTTGGTGCTGCAGTTTATGGAACTGTCGATAAACCACAAGAAACGTCAACGCTGATTGATTAATCAATGTCTGACGTCATAGGGTTAAAAACTGCTCGTACGACCCCCGACGCGACCTTCCAGTACAACCAGTCAGATCTTCATGTAGTATAAAAAAACCCGAAACGAAATATAGATCTGTATTTTAATCAGATTGGCAGAACCTGAAATGCCCGAAAAAATTTTGGTGCCAGAAAAATGTGGCACAAAGGTGAGTGGCTCCAGACAAAATGCTTTAATCAATAGTCAATTCAGTACAAATTTGTGGTATTCAATTAAAAGAAAAGTAAAATTAGTGTGTTATTAGATTTCTAATACATATACTTTATTTTGCCAACTAGATGAAACAATAAGTTTTCTTTCTACTTTAACCTTCTGTCTGAAATGTCAGATTGCCCGAAAGTTAGTGGGGCAGCTGTACACTTATGAAGGTAATAAAATCTGAGTCATATGATAATCAGAAGTAGAAATGGTGCCATGATGATCTGGCTGTGATTAATGAATCTTTCTGAGCAGAATAATTTGATTCCAGCATTCAGGTTCAGTGCTAGCTAAGGAAACTGATTATCTTCAAATTAACAATATGATCTGTTAGGCTCATGTTCAACAATTTATTATAGCATATTATAACGATCATGTGATTCTCGGAATCTCATAACTCTTACAACCATGTTGTTTCTTGATTTCTCTCAGAGATTGTTAGTGGGTGATTCTGGAAGTTTTATCCATAGATTTTCTTTTATCAATAACAATATACATGTAGATGGCTTAATTTATAAGGGGCATAATGGGGGTAATGAAGATGGGTTTATGCCATTCAGTGTACTATTGTAGTAATTTTGCACTGACATCGGCACTATTTTGAATTCCAACCATTAAGGTTTCTTTTACGTGCATGCTAACATCTACACAGAACCGTTTTTTGTCCCATCCATACAACTAGCCGCTGTTCCTTGCCAGACCCTCCGTCCTGCACCACTGACAAGGGGATATTCCTGACAACAAACAGTACCTAGTTGTTTGGATGGGGCGAAAAGCTGAGGTCCCATGTACATGTTGGTGTGCACGTTAAAGAACCTTTGACAGTTGGAATTCGATATTAGAGTAGGCCGTAGCAAAAGTGTCCGGGGCAAAATCTCCCTCATAGCTTGCTGTATGGTTTAAGGCTGTCTGCATTAGCCCAGTCGGTTCACAAAAGAGAGACGTAAAACCCATTTCATTTCTGAAAGATGAGATTTGGGATTCAAAGCGGAGTTTTTTCTCGACCCATACTGCAATTCTAAGCTGGAATGTATAATATTTGATCCACAGATTTTTTTAAAACCTAATCCAAATGCTAACCCTAACCAGTTAATTAGCTCCAATTTAATTTAAAGAATAGACGTAAATGCTGTTGTCCGAGCAAAATTTCTCTCATAACAGTACGGTACACTGCTTGGTGTATGCCTGTCTTGATAGCCTAATCACCTTGCTGTATGATTTAATTCTGTCTTCATTAGCCCAGTCAATGCACAAAAGAGAGATGTAAAACCCTATTTCATTTCATTCTGAAAGAAGAGAATTGGGCTTCAAAACACAGTTTTTTCTTTGATCTACACCGCAATTCTAAACTGGAATGTATATTTGTCTGAGTAAAAATTTCTCTCGTAACAGTACACTGTTTTTTTTGTATGCCTGTCTTGACTGGTTCTCTTGGTGCATAAAGTTAAAACTATGTTTCATTTTCTTTTAACCTGGGTGGCAGAAATGTCGGTAGCAAATATATTTGATCTACCTGTAAAGTCCAACTGCCGATAGTACCCAAACATGACTCCAGTGCAAAAAATAACAAAACTAAATAAATATAAGTATTTACACTTTTTATTTGTTATATGTTGTTTTTGTAGAATTATATACATCCAATAGCTATCACTCACTGGGTTATAAATGTCTTTATATGGTACAATATCTTTTTTTCTTTAAATATTACTATCACATGATCAAAACCTTAATAATAAGAGAAAAAAAATAGTAGACCCATATTTTTCACTGGTAGATAGAGACTATATATTGATCAACATGCCTTTATTTTGATGCCTTTTGGATACTTAGCTTTCTTTTTACAAGATGACAGGTTTTGTTTGAAACAATTAGGTTGTGGAATTACAAAGTGTAAAAAGTGTAAACCGTCCAAGAACTCAATGTGTAGTCCAGTAACAGACTGGGGATTATTGTGGAATTACTAAGTATAAATGTTTAATACCGTCCAAGAACTCAATGTGTAGTCCAGTAACAGACTGGGATTATTGTGGAATTACTAAGTGTAAATGTTTAATACCGTCCAAGAACTCAATGTGTAGTCCAGCAGCAGACTGGGGATTATTGTGGATTTACTAAATGTAAATGTCTAATACTGTCCAAGAATTCAATGTGTGGTCTAATAGAAGACAAGGGATTAAAACGAGGCTGTCCCAATATTTATTAATTGTTTTTTCGGCACTATTTGTATCTAGTGGGTCATATATTACCTGGTGGACCCAGCCCACCGAGCATTGCCCGTATGGTCAGTCCGCCTCTGATGTGGTCTAATTGTGCCTCTTCGGCTGTGTCAAGTAATTTATGCATATCCATATATCCTGTCATCTCAAAAACAGTAAATTTTAAAGCATACAATGTACAAGGCACCAAAGAGATGTTAAAATATGACAACTGACAATAATATACAGAAATATTGGTCTAAAAAATACCATCGAAAAGAAAGAAATAGATGTAACGAAAATGGACCAAACTCTGCTAGAGATAGGGTCCACGTCAACCCACAAAAATTTTAAAAATTTAACAAAAATGTGCTCACATTCATCACGTGGTGGATAGTATGATGATATTAAATGATGTTCTAATACAGAGTTATTTCCCCTTCTGTTTGGTCCTTACAGAGTTACTTCCCCTTCTGTGGGATCATTTTAAGACTATCTTGTTGAGAAACTGGGATAAATGGTGCTAGTGCGCTTTCAAACACTTAGTACTTCCCATGATTGTAGAGACTTGTTAAGAGTGACTAGAAATGCCCGCACACCAAATTTGAGACGATTTGATCAATAACCTTTTTTTTTTTGAGACCTTTTACATTTACTAAAAAAATTCAAGTCTGTGAATCGTGAACATCATGGGTTATTTGTTCCATCCTGGTCAACAGATCATGGGGCTTTTATTGTGCACTTTGGAATACCTCTTTTCAACATTATTGCCAAATGTCTATTAGTCTACATCAATCCACATCTCGGGTCACTTTGGTTGTTTTTCTTTAGAAAAATACTATAGCCTATTCACCTTTTCTGAAAATGAGATTAACTCATACTCAACTTGAACTTGCAAAAAGGGAAATAACTCATATATTGTGGTACTAGACCACTGATGTCATTAAAAGTGCAAAATGTAAAACATACATGTTAAATATTAATATACATATTACATACATGTATGTATGTCAATGTGGACAAGAAAATAATACCTAATTAAAAATGTTACAAAAATTAGTTGCACATGATGAACACTTCAATAATTTAAATTAAGCCCAGTCCCATGATTTAAGTTAGATGATATTACAGACAAACGCAGGGTTTTTAAAATGACATTAAAGGCCATAATTCTAAACATCAATTATCATTTAATCAAACATTTAAGGTAAGTTCTCATGTTAACTGTTTAAACATTATCAAGAGTTTTAAAAACAAGGATTTCCAAACTCAGGTAAATCTTACCTTCACAGGGAGTAAATTTTTCGGTTTTAAATATTATAATTCACCTATGGATGTTTATATTCCTCAATATTTATTCATGAATAAGTGAAATAACATCGTTATGTGTTGTTATTACTTTAATTTAAAATAATGTTAAAATGAATATTTCAAAACTTTCTATCTTTAAGTTGTTTTACTATGGCAGAAGTGTCATCCCAAATTACTGAACAGAGTGCAGGTAATTTACTTTAGAAAAGTTGCCAGAGGTGAACTGAACGAAAAAGGTTGGGAAACCTTGGTTTAAATGATTCAACTACATAGAAATGAGCCGACACCTTTATAAAATCTTTTTATGTCAAAACAACCAACTGGATTCACACCTATCTGTGTTTTATTTCTTCTGATCAGATTTATTAATAATAATTTTCGAAAAGAAATAGTCTGTATATTGTGAAATATCGGGGAATTCTTAAAATTGAAGAATCAACCATAATTCGTAAAATAATAATATAATAGAAAATCTTTTAGAGGCAGTTAGTAACTGAATAGAGCAAGAAATTATAACACATACTTATGGAAGAACAATTACTAAGTTATTTAGATGACATTGTGAAGAGTATTATCTCAATGGTTTCAAACAATACTCTTCAAAACATCACATAAATAAATTACTGAAATGAAATCGGCTTTAACGTCCTACTGTTCTGCTCAGACTGGGCTAATGAAATTTTGCCCTGACAGCGGCACTACAGCCTACTCTTATATCAAATTCCAACTGCCAAGGAATATTTTACGTGCACGCCAATGTGTACATGGGCCCTCAGTTTTTCATATCCTGAATGACTAGAGAGTTATCCTTGTCAGGCCCTCTGTCCTGCACCAGTGACAAGGGGAAACAATGCTAGAAAATCCTGATGAACTTTCTCGGGTAACACCGGGAGCGAACCCGCGATCTCCAGACTAGCGAGCCAGCGTCTTATATCCACTTAAATGAATTAGTAATTGTTCTTGTATGTGTTATAGTTTATTAATAAAATATTGTTTCAAATAATAACTGTAATAACTGATTCATCAAATTATAACTGTAATAACTGATTCATCAAATTATAACTATAATAACTGATTAATCATGTTATTTGTACTTTTTTCTACAGTTCTTGGTATTTCATAGAAATATATTCAACGTCAAAATAGCACATCAGCTTCCATTTACATGCAATTTTACACATTTCGTACATAAGGCAAAATGCAAATATTGACATCTTTTTAAACAATTTGTTGAAATGTACATTACATACGGGTTACACTTAAAGCCATGTAAAAATATCGAACCTGACTAAAAATAGAATATTTACGTCTATCCTGCCGATGGAGAATATTATATATATATATATATTTAAGGCATGCAAACACAACCAAGTTATAACCATGACACCAAGCGCCAAGTCAACAGCATACATAAATTAATTATCTATAATTATCCAGGTGGCACGAAAACTATAAAAACAATTTAAGAATACTGATGTTTTATTCGTCGCTGAGCACGAAAATCATAACAACAATTTTATGCTCTTGGCAAATAAAAAGGCTGCATTCTCAATCTGACTAAAACACAGACCCTATTTCGTTTCATTTTTTTTATAGTTCAAAATTTTGTTTTACTTGTCTTCAATACACTAGGATCAGGAAGATTAGTTAATTAAATAACCTGCGTTCTGGTAGATGTAGAGTTCTTATCGACTGGCACGCTTAACTGTGGGATGACATTCGCAGCGATACAAAGCAAAAGTTGTATTTCCAAATACCCACTTGAAACACTGAAGCTGATTGGTTAATCAAATGACTGACCTTATAGGGTCAAACTGATCTGATATTATGTAATGGAGGCCATCGAAAATATAAAAAAAACAAAACGAAATAAAGATCTGTATTTTAATGAGATTGGCTGCATTCTTAAAACTATTTTAAGTTCTGGTGAATAAGTTCCCTGACGGTATTCATACGATTGATATTCAGTCTAGAACATGGGTCTTGAAATTTTCACAGACATGGCTAAAACTGATCTCTAACCTAAAATTTGTTTTAGACATAGCAAAAATTAACTTCATAGCTGACATCTTTTCTCACCTGTCAAATATTGATTTTAAATGTCAATCATTTATTCAACTATTTAGGAATAATACAGACTATTTTCTTTTTTCGTTGTCAGGTGAGACTTTGTAATATTTTGTCAAAAATTTTGTAACCCAGGGAATAGATGAATATCAATTTTTAAAAAATATTTACTAACAAGTTTAACTCACTGTAATCTTACACTCAGTGACATTCAAAATACCTTAATAAGATGTTCCCTTTAGTATTTAGTATGTAATTTCTATCTTCTACGAATCAGGGCCCTATGGTAAAACCAATTTAATCTTAGTTCTTCAGGGTTTAGATCAAAGAGAGAGAGAAAGAAATGGGATTTATCTTCCACTCGACATAAACTAGGTTATTTCGAGACTAACATATGGTTCAATTTTATATCAATAATTCGCTTGCGCGTAGGGTTTTTTAGCAGTGGGAGGAAACCGTAGGACATGGGGGAAAACCCACGAGGTTGTCACATACAACCGTGGAATCGAAACCACGGCAGGTAACCCAATGACAGACTTTATGATACAACATACTTACCATTCGGCCATCCCCCCCCCCCCCCGTTTTGTTAAACTTTTAACACTTAAATATTTTGTACTAAAAACTTTTGAGAAGGACAACTAATTTTTGCCTGAAGAACAGAAATTCAAATTGGTGAGGCCTAAATCACAAAACTTAAGTAATATATTTTATGGATACAGGCATTTCATTGGTTGAGAGTTCAGATCCCAATACAAATTTTACCTCTTGACCAATGAAAGGGTTGAATTCTCAACATATTTTAGTTCAAGTTTTTGTGAATACACTCCCTGATTCTGAAACGAGTCAACATCATTATTATAAATAAACATTCAGATATTTTGTTTGTCTTGTAAAGTTTTTCTAACACCCCTTACTTATATGCAATGGAGATAGAAATTATTCGAGATTTTCAATCATATTTCGATCACTCGAAACAGATGAAGTAACGTCTGGTTGATCACAGGGTTATTTCAATGAGGTAATACATTAATTATCCAAATAAAAACCAAACTTTCGATTAATTTGTCCACATCATATTCCTTTTCTTTTAAAATTTATTTCTAGCACTGCCACCATTTGGAATGTCAATATTAATATTAAAGATACAAATAAATAAAGATAGCAAATAACTTCTAGTTTCCTAAATTATCATCATTATTATTTTCTTTTCATCAAAATTAAATAAATATGGAGACATAAGGTTAAAAAAAAATCAACACAAACTAAAAACAAAACAAAAAATAAATAAAGGTAATTCTACAGAAACATGCTGTCCTAAAATGGGGGTTCCCCTCATTGTGTAATGTCGATTTAAACTCAGATTGTTCTTTAGTGATTGAATTTAAACCGAAAAGATTGTGCTCATGGCAATCCTGAAGAAGTTCAGATTAAGGCCGGACAGAGGACAGAGAAGTTTCTGGTATACCCCAAATGATAGAATATGCATGGAATAAATATAATTTATAGCGCAAGCTCTGCCTCAATGGATCCTTTTAAAAATAAAATGTTGTTAATCCACATTTTTATTTATTAAAAATAAAGCATGGTTTAATTTTACTTCAATTTCATCGAAAAATAACCAGAGTTGATTATACCCAGCCAAGGGAGCTAACTCCACATTACACAAAGAGGGAATTTTTGTTTATTAATATAATGATATAAATACATATTAAATGATTTTACAAATAAAACAAATTGTTATACAAAGAGAGATGTTGTATAATGAGATATGGTGATATAGAATATTGTTTTTATAAATGTTTTTTATTTAGTTATGAAATGTCATGAATTTAATGAGAATATATTTGATGATGTTAATATATCCCAATATCTAAATATCAATACCCCATGTTGTTTTGTTTTTAATGCCACACAAGTTTACTTGAGACTAACTAGGAACAAACTATTTTTTGTGTGAAAATACTAATTTTGGGGACAAAAATCAGAGAAAATAAAATTATCTCCCTTTAATGCATTTTAATAGTTCAGTGGCCTGTTTCACGAAATTTTAACTAAGATAAAATCCAAATTTTAGTAATTTGATTGGATAATATTAGATTGATTTTAGTGCTTACCCAATCAAAATTGAAGTATCTACTAAAATTTGGATTTTATCTTTAGTTAAGATTTCGTGAAACAGGCCCCAGCTTTTAGTATAGCTTGCTTGCTGGATGGTTTAACACAGTAGTGAAATCGCAGAAAATCTAGTTTTAACATTTCCGTGCAGGGTTTTAAAGTAAATGCAGTTAAGAATTTTAAAATCAGGAGTTTGAATATCATTTCAAGATTTTATCATTTGTTCAGATCTATTGGTGCTTGTAGTGTTAAAGCCATTATTATATTTCATTATGGCCCAAAGATCAAGAAACCGTCTAAGACTTACATGCTACTAAGAAATAATTCAAATTACATTCATTCATAGATTCGAAAAAATCTATGTAAATCTGCTAAAGTTTCAAGATCTAAGGGCCTAGACTTCACTGCAAAATTAACTATGTGATACAAAACATCTCATCACTTTCCTAAGACAATTAAAGCGAATTTTAGAGTTACATTTATTTTACTTAGTGCAGTGTTTTAAAGACTTACAAATCAAGTATCAAGTTTAGAATTAAATAACCATAGTGAAAAATAATTTGGAACTGCATGTTGAGTGGATATTTTTAAAATTCTAACTGAACAAAATATTAATACAAGACATTTCTGTGAGAAAGAAAACCACTTAGATCTACTTGTGTGGTCAACCATCCACAACAAAAAATCAAATTCTTTTATAACAATATTTAACATTTTGGTAGATGTGACAATCCATACAAATGAATCTAATTGGCATTCCACAAATTTGCCAGCTATTTCACTGCCTAATTCTAATGTGTGGAAGCCATAATAACAATATTAGGTGTGCAAATTAAATCTTTCTACACACGGAAAAAAAATAATATATAATTAACCAACAAAACATTTAATCTAATTTCATTAGATCTTCACATTTTCTCAGATGATGAAAATCTTTTCTCAAAATTAACAAAAAGAAAAAAAAACAATGACAATGGGAATAATAATTATGGATACAATATTACTTGAAGATTGCAATAAGATGAAAGAATTCCCTTTCATCCTGAAGCTAACTTCTGACAAAAATAAAGAAGCAAACTTTCGATATGATTTGGGACAATAACCAAGACCGTACAATAAATTCTTTGTTTAACGCAAAAAAATAAATCTAAATTAACAACTCTTGTAATTTAATTACACCTAAGTTCAACAATATATATTGTATATTAGACACTAATAAAGCACAATCTTATTAAAACACAGACTCTATTTCGTTTCGTTTTTATAGTTCAAAATTTCATTTTACTTGTTTTTCCTACACTAGGATCTGGAAGTGTTGTTATCACTAACATGTTCTGGATGATATGGGGGATTAGCCAATGAAACAGTCTGTTATGGCGAGCTTTAGGCATGTTTTGCACGGAACTGTGGGTAATCCACTAATAACATCAATGCTGATTGGTTAATCATATGTCTGACATCATAGGGTCAAAAGCCGCACGCATGACCTTTGACATGACCTATCGCTACAATCGGTCAGACTTTCATGTAGCGTAGGCCATCGAAATAAAAAACGAAACGAAACGAAATGTAGATCTGTATTTTAATTGGATTGTAATAAAGCATTTTATCTATATCTCTAAAAAGCTTATTAATAGACACTTTAAATCATTAGAGCACTGTTTTTATTGAGGGCCCTCACTAGAAGAGTCAACATTACAGCCGAACTACATATAACTTCTTCGATAGGTATTTAGTAATTGAACATATTAACGTAAGATCGTTTGCTTGATAAAGGCGAGAGTTTCCTTGTTGAAACGTCACATGGTAATAAACTCAGAAATTGTGTTTCCATACAATTGTACCTTGTGTTCAAGGGTGTAAAGCTCTAATTCATTGTCCAGAGTCTTCAACATTACAAACTCGAATTATTGGTTTAATCCAATCGATATTGTTTTCTTACAATTACAAACTCGAATTATTGGTTCCTACCAATCAATACTGATGTTATTATCTTACTATTTATATACACTCATATTACATTAATATATGCTCTTTAACCAATTTTCGTTCATTTTTGGTTCCAAAGAATAGAGATCTAGCTCCTTTAATTTAAATATAGTTATATCTTTATGGCTGTCAACTTTTCCAAATACAAGAATTTTGGCACATTTCCTATCGATCTGATCTTTAATCAATTAAGCAACAAAACATTTATTTCCTCTCAGAAAACATAACCTACAATAAGTTTAAGTGTCTGTAAATATAAGCATTAAACAAAGAATTAATTTTTTTTTTTATATAGGTCTTGCAATAAAACATTTTATATCACATATAAGTTATATATTTTTTATATATCTCTAGCTCTTGTTAAGTGGTGATCGAGAACCTCTCTGTGTCAAACCCTCAAACCGTTTATATGTATAATTTATAAACACCCAGTCCTTATATTTAGAGTCCGGTATATCTTCTTCTTTGGGTGGAGAGGCTGAAAATAATTACATAGTGGTTATTATACATCTAGACAAATGAGAGAGAGAGAGAGAGAGAGAGAGAGAGAGAGAGAGAGATGGGTTTAATATCCACTCGTCACAGACTGGGTCATTTCGGGACTAACATATGGTTTAATGTTATTTCAATAATGTTATTTCAATAATTCACTTGCACGTAGGAGTCCTTAGCAGTGGGAGGAAAATGGAGGACCCGGAGAAAACCCACAAGGTTGGACAGGCAACCCTACTACGTGTCACGTACAACCGGGGATTCGAAGCCCCGCCAGTTGACTCGATGACAGGCCTTATGATACAGCGCGCATGTGCTAACCATTTGGCCATCCAACCCCCCTTACACGAAAAGCCACCATTTGCTCTTCTCTTCATTAAACAACAACAGTCATAGTAACTAGTTGTTTGGATGGGCAAAAAGTGGGGTCCCATGTAAATGTTGGTGTCCACATGAAAGAACCCTTGACAGGGCCATCTGATCAACTAGTCACTGTCCTTATCAGGCCCTCTGTCCGGCACCGCTGACAGGAGGGAAACCATGCTGGAAAATCCTGAGGAACTGTCTCGTCCAACAATGGGATCGTACCCGAGACATCCTGGTTAGTTAAGCAGCATCTAACGCACTGAGCCACCGCGGCTCCCCAAAGAAATCACAAATTAATTCATGAATTATATGTCAAAAATACATAGATTTTTTACTTACTTAGTTTTAAATCTATTTCTGGAAAATCATCAAAATTTGACGTATCGTCTATTCCCTTTACATCAACTGGTATTGCTGCTGGACGCTCCCTAAAATAATCAAACAATTTTCTTTTATACAATTTAATTCTATCATTTAATACATTAAAATAATCAAACAATCTCTTTTATTCAATTTAATTCTATCATTTAATACATTAAAATAATCAAACATTCTCTTTTATACAATTTAATTCTATCATTTAATACATCAAAATAATCAAACATTCTCTTTTATACAATTTAATTCTATCATTTAATACATTAAAATAATCAAACATTCTCTTTTATACAATTTAATTCTATCATTTAATACATCAAAATAATCAAACAATTCTCTTTTATACAATTTAATTCTATCATTTAATTACATTAAAATAATCAAACAATCTCTTTTATACAATTTAATTCTATCATTTAATACATTAAAATAATCAAACAATCTCTTTTATACAATTTAATTCTCTTTTATACAATTTAATTCTATCATTTAATTACATCAAAATAAAGTATTTTATAAATACTTGTATTACGTAATTACGTTAAAATATAGTATTTTATAAATATGTATAGAAATAGTGTTTTTAATAGTATTTAACTAGAGTGTTAATCTTGTATTAGTATGTAGATAGAAATAGAGTTTTAATAGTATTTAACTCAAGTGTTAATCTTGTATTAGTATGTAGATATAAATAGCATTTTTAATAGTATCTAACTAGAGTTTTTAATAGTATTTAACTAGTGTGTTAATCTTGTATTAGTATGTAGATAGAAAAATAGTTTTAATAGTATCTAACTCAAGTGTTAATCATGTATTAGTATGTAGATATAAATAGCATTTTTAATAGTATTTAACTAGAGTGTTAATCATGAATGGGTATGTAGATAGAAATAGAGTTTTTAATAGTATTTAACTAGAGTGTTAATCATGAATGGGTATGTAGATAGAAATAGAGTTTTTAATAGTATTTAACTAGAGTGTTAATCATGAATGGGTATGTAGATAGAAATAGAGTTTTTAATAGTATTTAACTAGAGTGTTAATCATGAATGGGTATGTAGATATAAATAGAGTTTTTAAAAGTATTTAACTAGAGTGTTAATCATGTATGAGTATATATATATATATAAATACTTTACCTGATATGATCCCAATCAACTGGTTGAAAGAATGGATGAGATTTTATCTCAACTAAACCTCCAGCACCTAATCTATTTTCACCATCACAGCAAAACCTATACAAAAAAATACACAACACATTCTGGTTAAATCATCTGTGTTTTTTAAACTGTTGCATGTTTTATGGACAATATTGAGTTAGAAATTTAGCTCCTTTAAAATGTGACGTATATTCTGAACTATATAAAAACTGGCTATCTTGGAGCATTGTGAATTTTTTCACGTTTTGTGGAACTTGTGGTTTTAAGTAGAATGGCTGTTAGAACACATTAAACGACTTTGCATGTACGTTTGAACAATGATGGCTCCCAATATTTTTACAATTGTTTATATTATGGCATACATGATATAAGAAATATTATATATAGAGAAATGGGGTTTAACGTCCACTCGACACAAACTACGTCATTTCGCTACTATGGTTTAATCTTATTTCAATAACTCGCTTGCACATAGGGGTCTTTAGCAGTGGGAGGAAACCACGAGGTTGGACAGACCAAAATAATATAACATTCACTATTCATCTGATCCATACTATCATGCCCTCGGACCAACTGGGTTCGTTGGGTCCTCATCATGGTGAAGAATACATGACAAGATCTATCTATGAGTTAATGACGATGCCTCAAGAATTTGAAAACACTCGAAAATCAGTTTTTGATACTTCAGTGAGATATTAACTTGGTAATGTCTGGCAATGAAACCTAACGTTATAAATACAGGTTTCAATTTAATTAATATTTTTTATTTGAATTACCTTTGTATGACTTCTTTAGCTTCATTAGATATAGGAACATCAGGTGGAAAGACCAGAGTATCTCGCCAATTGATTACTTTACGATAAGTTTCCTGAGGATTTTCAGAACAAAATGGAGGGTAACCTTAAAAAAAATTATTAAAAATATAAATTACTATATAATCAGTATTCTTACAAAATTTAAAATTCATAAATGTATTTATTTTTCAACAGCATCATGGAGTTTTCAGAACAAAATGGAGTGTAACCTTAAAGAGGCATTATGTAAGATTTAGATAAAGAGCTGGCCATTCTTAATGTAATAGTTTTAAAAGAGATAATGAAAAATGAATGTATGGAAAATTTCTTTATTCTGGGCAAAGTTATGAATGTTTTGAAGTTGCATATTAGATAGTTTATTATAGTAGCAACAGTACTTGGCAACCAAGACTAAGTCTCTATTATCCATTATATTGTTAAATTTAAAATCTTGGGAGCGTTCAAATCCATTTAAATCTTGGCCATCCAATGATCTATAGAGTTGATTATAGGCTTGTCATGTGAAGAAATGTTTAATTATTAATTTATATAGCATATGAAGCCAAAATAAATCCAGAAATAGACAGAATTAGCTCTTACATACTGCATCTTTAAAGAAGAAACTCAACAAATATACATAACTATACTATTAGTATTCTTTACAAACTTTAAAATTCATAAATATATAATTATTTTTGAAGAACACATGATAGAGGTTGAAAATAATTACTAACCAATCATCATTTCATACATAATGACACCTAGCGACCACCAATCACAGGAGCTGTTATAACCAGTCTGCATGAACACTTCTGGTGCTATATAATCAGGAGTACCAACTGTAGAATATGCCTAATAATAGAACATTATAATATATTCAGACTGACAATAAAGAAAACCTCGCATAAGTCAGATCTTTGCTCAACCCGGATAAAATCATTTGGACCCTTTGATACTGCACAGTTTTCATATCAAATTTCTATGCTTAAGTCAGATTTCCTAAGTCGGATCTTTGCTCAATTAGGATTAAAATGTATGCCCATTTGATCTAATAGTAATATCGACTTTTTCCTTTGCCTAAGTCGGAACGGCAGTATTTTCAGAATTTGACTGTCTGTTCATCCCGATGGTCTAAATCAAGGTTAGCTATTCCATGCACAGAGCCCCAAAAGACTTTCCTTTATCATTTTGACTCAAATCAGCCTATTTGACGTGACGCAAAAATAGAATTTTCACGGAAAATTCAAAATTCGCTGTCTGCTGTACAACACATTTTCTGGGAAAATTTAGAACACTTTTTCAAGGATGGCGAAAAAACGGAAGTTATCTATTTGCACCAAAACGGAAGTTATCTACTCGCACATACGAATAAAAGCTTGAAATGTGCCTTTGAATCAATTATTATCCGGCTCTTGCAGTTTATTTCTAATCGAGCTAAGATTGAATTTAGCTCTTATGCGAAGTTTACTGTAATATTATGGGGTTTAACATCGATATCTCGTCCACATTATACTTCATTCTTTTTGGGACTAACATATGCACCAGTATTTATGCCTACTCTTCTTAGAATTCAAACTGCCAAGGGGTCTTTTAAGCTTTTTTTTTTATAAGCAATATTTCTATCCAGGTTGTCTGAATGGGATTGGTGAACAGGCTTAGCCTATGTAAAACCCCTCTCCCACATATGCGTACACAGATGGACCATAGTTTTTTGTCCCATCCTAATGACTAGGCAAAGTTTCCACTCAGACACCACTCATAGCATGTGAGAACGTGTGAATTTGAATCCTGGACATTCTACTCAAAGAGACCAAGGTCGAACTACTCAACCACCAATATTCTAGATTATATAGATGTGATGGATGAAGAAGGCGCGATCACTTGTAGGTATGGTGGCAAGGTGAACAAGAACAATACACTGTGAAATCTATAGGTTTCAATATGTCAAGACTAAATAATTGATATCGCAGACAAGTACTCAACCACCAATATTCTGGATTATAGATGTGATGGATGAAGAAGGTATGATCACTTGGAGGTATGTTGAATGGTGGCAAGGTGAACAATACACTGTGAAATCTATATAGGTTTCAATATGTTAAGACTAAATAATTGATGAAATGCCTTCTACTTCGTAAGTTTACTACTATAGAAACAATGTAGCGATTATATTTTACAGTGACAGGACAGGAAAATTAACATACCAATGCTCGTCTATTACGTTTCCAACTTTCTGCTTTTCGTTTAGAATCCATGGGATTACCGGCTGTAAAATAATAATCATCAAGATGAATAGAGAGAGAGGGAGAGAGAAATGGGGTTTAATATCCACTCGACACAAACTAGGTCATTTCAGGACTAACATATGGTTCAATTTCATTTCAATAATTCGCTTGCTTTAGCAGTGGGAGGAAGCCGGAAGACCTGGAGAAAACCCACAAGGTTGGGTACAAGTGGGGAATCGAAACCACGCTGCTTGACTCGGTGACAGACCTTATGATCCAAGGAGCATGAGTTTACCATTCAGCCAATCACTCTGGAAAATCCCAATGAACTTTCTCGGCAAACATCGGGAGTGAATCCGAGACCTCCTGGCTTGTGAGCCAGCGTCTTACTCACTTAGCCACCGTGGCACCCTATCTTTAGAAAATGACTAAATTAATATTAGTTTATTATAATGTGGAACTTACAGGAGAAGTCACCGGGTTTGGCCTGAGATAAATCTTTATAAAATTCTGTTCTGTGGGATTTTTTCATTCCTGTACATAATCCAAAATCTGACAATTTGATATGTCCCTGAAAATAAAATATACAGCCATTATTAGACATGTAAATTTGCTTTTAAATTTACAGTATTTACAACACCAAAATTATACTATTCATCACACACTTTTAAATTAATATAAACAGAAAATACAAAATAACTAGAAAATGGATTGTCAGTTTCACTCCGAGGACATAATTTATATTAGGGTGTGTAGATGAAGACTCATTTCAAACCACATTTGGAGGTTGTTGCTGAAAAGGTATCCTGCTTAAAAATAGTACCAGGTTTACTAACTCTAGAGTATACTAAGATCTGGAGGCTCCTAAATAGATTGTCAGGTTTACTAACACTGATGTCCCCTAGAAAGGTTATCCAGTTTACTACTTCCGGAGTCCCATAGAAAGGTTATCCAGTTGAATAACTCTTAAGTCCCATAGAAAGGTTATCCAGTTGAATAACTCTGGTTTTACTTACTCTAGAGTCTAATAAAAGGTTATCTGGTTTAATATCACGATGAATAAAGTTGAGTTTATGTATAGATTCTATGGCTAGTGCTGTCTCCGAGATGTAGAATTGAGTTTGTTCCTCTGTTAATGTGTCTTTCTTCATTAGCAAAGTCATCATATCACCTATAATACACATATTAAAGATGGGTTGCCAGGCAATGAATCATACACCCACAGCAGCTAAATTGTCCACCCAGTCGCATATTTATCCTTTTTAGGACATGGATATAAATTTAATACATATTGGATGATAACTTTTGTTGTTTGAGCATTCACAAGGTTCTACAAAGGGAAACGAGGTGTTTTCTTTTTTATGTGCCATAAATTAATAAGATCATTGGAAATCAGGGCAGTTATATGTGGAATCTGTAAAGCTAGAAATCTCCAAATGAAAAATTTCAAGGCACAATCTACCTCAAAGTAGTCAAAGTCTGAAATCCCATTTGTTTAGGATATGTGGGATCTGTAAAGCTAGAAATCTCAAACTGGCACATTTCAAGGCACAGTTTACCTGAAAGTTTGAATTCCCATTTGTTTAGGATATGTGGGACCTGTAAAGCTAGAAATCTCAAAATGACAAATTTCAAGGCAAAATCTACCTAAAAGTCTGTATTCCCAATTGTTAAGTACATTTAGGATATTTTTCTGGCGAGTCAGAACTCCTCTGTTAATTTCAAGTTTTGATTCGTGAATAAAAAGCTATACTTGAGTAATGATGAAAGCTCAGTTGATTAAAACAAGGTTTTGTAGATGATTATTCTACACGATACAAATAAAACCATGTTCTAGTATTTATCAACTGTCTCATCAATAACTCTGGTTGACAATCTAATAATCACAATCCTCTTCACTTCTCCTAGCATTGATGCTTAGCTGTCTAACTCTTTGATAAGGTATTTACTCTTACTTAATAGATTCTCACGAAAAACAGTTTACTGCGAGAATTAATGAGTTCAAGCGTATTTTTTATATGAAAAAGAAACACCAAAATGTTTGGAAATGAAACAGCCCAGTATGTTTGGAAATGAAACAGACCAAAATGTTTATAAATGAAACTGCTCTTGATTCAAGGCCTGGAAATAATGGTGGACATTTTGAACTTTGTGTCAAACATATATATAAATATCAATAAAACACTGATTGATTGATAGCCATATCTGTGCCATACTAAACTTAAGCTGTCTGTCTACAGTTAGCTCTGCTTGAGAACAGACACTAAGCTAGTTGACAGACATTTTAAGTCAAAAATCGATGAATTTAGTCGAAAACACTAATTATACTTCTGTGTATGACAGATGTAAAACGGAGTAGAAATGAATTACAAAACAGTATACTAATTTTTGGATATGGTGGTCATTTATGGCAGAGATCTATTCTCGAGGAATGAAGTAGATGAATCTGTATGTGTAGAATGATATCTGTGCCTGACAATGTCTATGACAGGTGCCTTATTTCTAGACATGTATGAAACAACCATGATGAAGTATTAATGTGTGTACTTACCACCAGGAAGAAATTCCATGATAAGATAAAGATTCTGTGCATCTTGAAAAGAATAATACATCTTAACTACCCACTGATGATCTGCTTCTACTAATATATCACGTTCAGCTCGTACGTGGGCAACCTGGAGAAATATAACAATATTTTATATTTAATATATCAGCAACAGAAATGAAATGAAATGGGGTTTAATGTCCTACTATTCTGCTCTGACTGGGCTAATAAAGACAGTATCAGTGACAGACCACACAATAAATTTGTAGAAGATGAAATGAAATAGGGTTTATTGTCCTACTTTTCTGCACCACATAATTAAGACAAGATGTCATGCAGTGTTCTGAAGGAAACGAAGCACTATGGCCTACTTTTATTTTGATTTTTAAATGTCAGGGGATCTTAAGGTCAGGTCAAAATATTAAGGCCAGCTTTTGCCATTGTTGTGAGACGTAAATAAGGTTAGGGCACGTGATCGTGGACGAGATTGTGGGTAAGGGTTAGGGTAAGGTCTAGGTCTAGTTTAAGAGTTTGGGTTAGTGCTTGACCCGTTTACATCTCGTGACCTTTGACCAAATCTGCAGTTTGGCATTAATATTTAGACTGTATACACAGGTTTTTCATTCCTTCGAACGTCAAGGCTATCGATTCTGCATCACTGACAAAATTTGCATCATAGCATACTTTTTATTCCCCCTGTTGGTGCAGAAAAGTAGGAAGTTATCCCCTATTTCATTTCATTATATATATATTCAATGAAAAACTTCCTAAGTCAAATACTTGGGAAATTGTTCTACTTTTTTCTTGGGTTGTCTATTTCTAGTTGGTTTGTCATTTTCAGTGAAATCTGTATCACTACAGGCCTGGGACTGTACATCGCAGTGGACACTTACGGCTAGCCCCGGGATCCATTCATTTGATCTGATATATACCATATATACATTTGTTGGTTGAGGTATTGGTAGCTTTGTCTTGTGTAATTGACTATTTGTGGTGCAATCACCCTGCGCTGTAGGTTTGGCATTTGTAATTGACTATTTGTGGTGCAATCACCCTGTGCTATAGGTTTGTCATTTGTAATTGACTATTTGTGGTGCAATCACCCTGCACTGTAGGTTTGGCTTGTGTAATTGACCATATGTGGTACAATCACCCTGCACTTACAAATATTGGCGTAGTCTCAAAAAGAATTAAGAACTCTGTAACTGACTATATATGGTACAATCACCCTGCACTTACTAATATTATAAGTTCAATAGAGATTTACATAAGTTTTAAGTGTGATATTTTGAAACTGGACCCAGAAGTGATTATAGGAAATAATTATCTTTGCGCCAAAACCCACCTGATCTTTTTCTAACATATCCATTTTGCGTAATATTTTCATTGCATAAACATGGCCGGTATCTTTCTTCTGGACTAGACGCACCTGAAATAGAAATAGTAATTAAGTACAAATGAAATCCTCATATATTTCTCTTCAAATTATCTCCTATATTAATTCCATGCGAGTAAGCCCTAGAGAGCAATTAGGATTACAATGATATAGGCTATTATAGGCTATTCAGAATTTATACTATTCATAAACTTGATTTAATTACAAGACAAATCTCATTCACATTGTATTCATTATGATCATTATAAAGCAACAATTTCAATCTGCCTCGATGACAATTGTACTTTTTTTCCACTCCCAATTGCTTGATAAAATTTCTCCCAATTAACAAATCCATTTCATTTTTTGTCCCGATTCATTTCAGAGATTTTGTACTTCTAGACATACACTTTAAAGATGCATTATGTAAGAGCTATAATCTGCCTATTGCTGGTTTTATTTTGGCTTCAAATGTTATATAATTTATTATTTAGACATTTATTCACATGACGAGTCTATAATCAACTCTCTAGATCATCAGATTGATTTGAACATCAGCGTGATTTAAAAATTTACTGATAAAATGGACAAGTCTTAGTCAAGTATGGTTGCTACGATAATAAATTATCTATTTTACATCTTCAAAATGAAATGAAAATGAAATGAAATCGGGTTTAACGTCCTACTGTTTTGCTACGAACTGGGCTAATGAAGACGGGCATACGCCATACAGTGTGCTATGAGGGAAATTTTGCCCGGACAGCCTACTCTTATATCGAATTTCAACTGTCAAGGGATCTTTTACGTGCACGCCAATGTGTACACGGGACCTCGGTTTTCCGTCCCATCCGAATGACTAGACAGCTTTCCTTGTCAGCCCCTCCGTCCTGCATCACTGACAGGGGAGAACCACGCCGGAAAATCTGGATGAACTTTCTCGGCCAATGCAGGGATCGAACACCCGACCTCCAGGGTAGCGAGCCAGTGTCTTAGCCACTTAGCCACCGTGATCCCCTTACACCTTCAAACAGTCATCCATAAATATTATATCTTCTTTGATTAGCATTTAGTAATTGAACATATTAACATAAGGTAAAATTTTATACACAATTATTACTGAGTTCAATACTAAGCGACGTTTCCAAGAGGATACTCTCGTCTCGTACAATTTTATGGATACACAATTACTGAGTTTAATACTCTCGTCTTGATAAAGTCGAAACGTCGCCTAGTATTAAACTCAGCAATTGTGTATTTATAAAATTGTACCTTGTGTAAATATTATACATGGTAATATATCCACTTTAAGCTAGATCTGTTTTTTTATATATAAAGTAAGATAGTAAATCAATAATCATGATTGATTTGGTTCCATCTATAATTGCAGACTTCTTGGAATAATGACAGTAATCATAGTATAAGTAAAAAATCTTATTCTGATTGTGTGTGGTTCATATTGAGTCAATCGGCAAAGTTTAGATTCCCAGCTTATACCTGACAAGGAGTTGGGTTGTATGTCCAACACCGTAGGTTTCTCTAGGACTAATATATGGTTCAATTTTATTTCAAGAATTCGCTTGTGTGTAGGGGTCTTTAGCAGTGGGAGTTAACCGGAGGACAGGTGACCCTACTCCTTGTCATGTACAACTGGGGAATCGAAATCCCGCCAGTTGACTCAATGACAGACCTTATGATACAACGTGCAAGCCCTAACCATTCGGCCAACCAAAACCCCCTCTTTAATGAATGATCTGTATTACTGGTACTGTACACAATAGATGTTTTAATATCAGATCAGGTGTATCCTGTCGCCCCCCCCCTCTCCTTTTTAATGAATGATCTGTAGTACTGGTACTGTTTTAATATGAGATCAGGTGTATCCTGTAAACCAACTATATACTCTACTGTTTTCTATTAACTCATTGTTGAGTAACATATCTGTATATAGTCCACTGTTTTCATGTCCTGTTTAGACTTACATCTGCTTTAACTCAAGACAAAGGTCAAACAGTAGTCGGCCAATTCTTACATTCTACCTCTAACAATACTCTCATTAGTAGTGGTCACGATGTTTATTTTTTCATATGTTTCCCTAGATCTCATTTAAGATAAAGAATCCCATGCATCATGGTGTAGTTTTGCAAAACATAATGAATGAATGAATTAGGGTTTAATATTCTACTTTTCTGCACCAACAGGGCTAATAATGAGATTTTTGCCCAGACAGCGGCGCTACAGCCTACTCTTATTTCGAATTCCAACAATCAAGGGTTGCTTTACGTGAACATCAATGTGTACACGGATCTCTTTTTTTTTTGTCCCATCCGAACAACTAGAAAGTCATTGCCAGGCCCTCTGTTCTGCACCACTGACATGGGTAAACCATGCTGAAAAATCCTGAGGAACTTTTTCTGCCAGCACCGACTCTATTGCTAACCACTTCTTTGCAGGCATTTAGTAATTGAACATATTATGGTACAAGGTACATGTACAATTTTATGGATACATAATTACTGAGTTTAATACTATGCAACGTTTCAACCCGGATACTCTCGTCTGCATCAAGTTAATAATAAATTCAGTAATTGCGTATTCATAAAAATTTTACTACACTAACTATGGAAGCATACACGGCTGGCCTCCAGATCCATTCCCTTGATTTGATATTTCTTGTTTATTTCTTGTAATGACTTGTCCTCGGGTTTGTCTTATCGGTTTTATTTGTGTGTAGTGTGGTCCTCGGGCACTCACTGCATATACATGTATGTGTTCAGTGCATGTTGAGTACATGATAGTAACTAGAGTTCAGCTAGAACAATAGAAAGTCGACTAATAGCGTTATATACAGGGAAACATTTGAACTGTACATGTGTTATTAACAATATACATGTAGTACTCATACCAACCAGGAAATATAAGTCAATTATAAGACCTGCTTCACACAATATACTTATTATATTATTATTACTAAATTATGTATCATACATAACCTCAATCTATTTCTAGTACATCCTGTCAATTTGCTATTTTCCTACATCACTGTAAAATTCCCATATGGAAGACCTTACAGAACAAAGCCAAGTAAGGTTGGTATTATAGCAAGACTTTCTCTTCAAAATTTTGGAAGGCTGTCAATTTTTTTTTCTCAGTTTTTTTGTTTTTGTCCCGATATGGCATTTAATTTATCCCAATGTTTTAATACATTTTCAAGTGTTTCTACATATAACAACTATCAATTTAACTGTATTTTAAGATAAATTCATTAAAATTTTAATTTCAGGGGATGTACATATAAAATGATTCACAGTTAGGTTCTGCGATATTAAGGAGAACGCTAGATTAGAGACGGTCCTGCGCATTTTAAGACGTCCTAAACTGGTGGGTTGTAACTCGACTTAACATCCGCTGGGAAACTTGTGAGAGGAGCCAGTCATTAGTTAAAGACGTATCTAGTGTAGGATGCAGATAGTTTAGCGATTAAGTAATTTTACTGCTTCTATTTCCTTTTGAGTTACAGTGTTGAATGGTGAAGACATGTATCATAAATCTATCCAAATGCACTATCAATATTGCTCTAACAAAGTAGTTTTAATAGAATTGTTCTTTAACTTTTGACAATTAGCATGTTTCCTTTAAATTATCATTCAATTGTCTATTCATCAACGACTTGATAACTAAACTAGCAAAACATATGAAATCATTTATGGACTTCATTAAGATAATTTTTCCGTTAGAATTTCAAATTTAAACTATCGTACTGTATCAGCCAGTTCATAACCAAGGATCAGATTTAGAGCAGTATAAACACCCATCAAACCCAAAAGAATTTGAAATTGCCGATTACCTAACCAATTACACGAACCCAAAAGAAACAAGGTCTATAAATTCACTTGTATACAAATATTTGCAAGGCACACGACAAAACGTACTCTTATTTAAAACTCGATACTTAAAAGAAATAAATCCTAAAAATCCACAAAACTTGAATACGATGGTTTAACCAGCACTGCAATGAAAGTCGAATTGATTTACGCAATCTAAATAAAGCTTAGTAAGGCTTAGTATTATTTACTGATAAAATCAATAGAGGCAGGCTAAAAGGTGAACCTTGTAAAAGGTTTGCTTTAAATTCTATTAATGGATCAATGTCTTTCATGTTATTTTTACTGATGTAATCCTGTTTTATATTCAAAGTTACTGAAATATATAAGTTTTATGTCCTGCCTAAATAACTAGTGTTTAAAGGAGCCATCCCCGATTTCACATACACTGATAAATGTTTTGTAAATCAAAAGCCGAACGAAAAAAAAAAATTCTTTTACAAGAACTCTCTCTTGGCAAGCCAGAAATATATCATATTTATTCTTTGTTGCTTCAAAGAGAGAGAGAAATGGGGTTTAACGTCCACTCGACACAAACTAGGTCATTTCCGGACTAACATATGGTTTAATTTTATTTCAATAATTCGCTTGCGCATAGGGGTCTTTAGCAGTGGGGGGAAACCGGAGGACCCGGAGAAAACCCACGAGGTTGGACAGGCGACCCTACTCCTTGTCACGTACAACCGGGGATTCGAAACCACGCCAGTCGACTCAATGACAGACTTTATGATACAGCGCGCGCACACTAACCATTCAGCCATCCAACCCCCCTTGTTGCTTCAAGAAATAAAGTCTGTTTTAAAGCAAACTGGTTAAAATACAATCTACATTTTGTTTGATTTAGTCTTTCAATGGCCTCTAAACCAATTAGATCTCAGTGATTTGAGAGCGGTCACATTGGTGAACTCAATCGTGTAAACTATTTATATGTAACATTTGTTTTCTCTTCTACTGCTCTATAATTCTCTCCAATAATTCAGTGCACACCTCCACCTAGAGCTCAACTAAACAGATGGTTTCATTGGCTGATCTCTTATATCATAGAAAATGTGGCTTAATCAAGAATGTTTTCAGATCAATCTGTGGTAAAGACTTACATAACAAAATATAATTTAAAAAAAAAAACAAACGAAATAGGATATGTGTTTTAATCAGATTGTTATAAAGATGTCG